GAGTCTCCCAGAGTTACTCGCGTTAGCTGACGGTACAGGCGGGTAGGGTTTAAGTGGGAGGGTGGGTTAGCTGGTATTCCAGTCAGGGTGCAGTTATGGGCCTGGAGCCTCTTGCGCCCGGTACCTTGTCGTATCGTATCGTGTTACTGTACAGTATTACGAGGGGTAGAACTTCATTTTAACCCCTTCGTTGCTATTATGGGCAGTTAACTGACCACGCTAAAGCGCCTGCTGTGAGCATCCCTGCTTTGGCACACCAAATTGTCACTCAAGTAATGTAAAGTAATACAAATAGAAAATTATATACAGGGTGGGCAAAAAAAAAGATACCTGTTTTCAAAATGTTATATCTCCTAAACTAATAACGCAACGGTGATGAAAAAATACCAAAATAAAGTACATTCAATTCTCTTTATAATGACATGGTGGTTTTTGCCAAACGGATAATTATTATTGCCATAATTAGCGCTTGAAAAAAATTGCCCCCGAAAAAAACTTGCACAAAAAGAAAGTTGCCTGGATTCATCGCCTCCTCTGCTGCTTATTTTTTTGTTTCTCGTTACTGCACAGCATTCTCATACTGAAAACATTCAACTTCATCTGTCTCTTATCGTTCCCTCACCATCACTCCCCCAGCCCGCCGCCCGCGGGCAAGCAGGACCACCGGATAAGATTTTGAATAAGAGTTCTTTGTCCAGCACCAGCAGTTTGACCTTTCTTTTTTATCAGCATCCTGATTATTCATGACCGACTGGAGTTCTTCTTTATTATTTGAGATTCATTATTTAAATTTATTATTAATTATTCTAGAGCCTTTTCAAATGGTTTTGAGTGAAATTGATAAATGCCTGATCCAGGCGCTCTGGGAAGAAAAACTCTATTCACTGAACAAAATTCTTGCTGAATATCCTGTTCGGAATTGGAAAAAGCCAACCGTCGCAGCTTTTTTACGGAAACTTCGTGATCATGGTAGTGGAAAGCGTCTTGCTGGAAGCGGACATCCCAAGAGTGCAAGAACTCAAGAAAACATTCAAAGTGTTGGTGAATTAATCTGCAGTCAAGAAGGACATCCAGGGACGAGTCTCAGTGTGCGGCGCATTGTGAAAGAAACGGGAATAAAACGTGCTTCGGTGCGGAACATCATTTAAAAAGACTTGAAGCTGAAAACCTTCCAGCGAGTTTCCGTGCAGGAATTGTCTGAGCGAGTGCGAAAAAAGCGCTTGGATCGCTGCAGAAAACTTCTCGACCGTTTTCCCTCGGCAAGCAAAATCTGGTTCTCAGATGAAAAGCGATTCACTGTTGAGAGGCCTCGCAATACCCAAAATGATCGTGTCTATGCAGCTGTGGCCAGGAAGGATGCTGTCAGCTCTGTGCGACTACTGCACGAGAGAGCTAATTTCTCGGACTCTTGTGATGGTATCTTTGGCTGTTTCTTCAACGGGAAAAACAAGAATTTATTTCATCGATCGTGGAGTTAAAATCGACTCGCAAAGCTATTGCAGTGACTTTCTGTCTGCAATGTTGCCAGAAATTGAAGACCAAATGTCCGACTACACCTTCATGCAAGATGGAGCTCCTGCTCGCACAGCTAAAGCTACCATTGACTTTCTTCGGGAAAATTGTGCGGACTTCATTGAGCCAGACAGCTGGCCACCCAACAGTCCCGATCTGAATCCTGTGGATTATTTCGTGTGGACTGCTTTAAAAGAAAAAGTGTACAGTGGACAGAGAATTCGTACGGTTGCGCAGTTGAAGGAACGAATTTTGGCCGCGTGGGAAGTTCACCAAACCTCAATTGCGAAAGCTATTGGTAAATGGCGAGGACGATTGCAGGCAAAGTGGTGGCCATATTGACCATTTGTGGCTAGATGAACTGGGAAGTGAATTGTTATCATGCAGGACAACGCGCCATTACGGAAAACTCCTATAGGATCCTATAGGATCCTATAAGATTTTTGAAGCATGAAAATCTTATAAGATTCTTATAGGAATCCTATAGGGTTCTTTTAGGATCCTATAGGATTCGTATAGGATCTTACGGGAATCCTATAAGATTTTTCCGTAAGGGCGTACTGTCACAAAATAAAAGAGAAATAAAGTATCATTTGTAGAAATTCAGTTGTGCAACTTTTTTTCGGGGGTAATTTTTTCAAACGCTAAATACGGCAATAATAATTATCCGTTTGGCAAAAACCACCATATCATTATAAAGAGAATTGAATGAACTTTATTTTTTTTTTTTCATCACCGTATCATTATTAGTTTAGGAGATATTAATTTTTGAAAACAGGTTTCTTTTTTTTGCCCACCCTGTATACTAGGTATATATTACTTACATTACTTGCCCCACTTGAGCATAAATATGAGGTGTGTGCTACCGCGCCGCAGTGGTCTATGCAGCATTTGCGGTGTGAGCTACCGTAAAGGCTCTTCCCAATATTTGTGATAGCCCTGAAAAGAGCTGCTTCGTTCTTAAGTTCAATTTCTGAATGTTAGCACCATATCCTGCAGGAGGGCCTCGAATGTCTTCTCAGGATTCAATCCTCTCCACCATACCTCGATGAGGTACCGCTCCTTCATATCTTGGGTCGTGCCACGCATTTCTTTGAACACCTTCAACTTCAAAGTGGTCCAAAAAGGCTAGATCGGCTGAGTATGTGCACCGCTCTCTGGATCCACGAAGTTCTCCGAGTGTTCACGGTTTCGTGAACGTACCCCAGCTGATCGATCCCCTTGTATGCAGGCCATTCATCTGAATGGAACGTTGTATTTCTGCCTGTATGCTGTCGTGCAGTGTTCTCCGGTCCAGCCGATTCACAACGAAGAATCGACGTTCCACGACGCCTCTGTCCTGTTTCGTGGCAAGTCCAAAGACCCAGAGACCTGCAATACGCCGTCCATAATTTCTTCTTCCCTCAGGAACATCGGCAACGTCTGCAGTCAAATCTGCATCCTCGGAGCTCTCGTCGCCTACCTCTGGCTCTTGACCTCCAAGTAGCAGGAGGTCCTTTGTTAACTTTCCGTTTCCCTCGAAGAAGAGTCTCATCCATTTGCACGATTCTTCCTGGTGCAGTCATTTCTCACGTCCGGTCCACATACGAGCAGGGACATCATTACATAGGTTGAACCAACCACAGCCTGATGGCACAGTCCCATGGCGCTCTTTACCTGGATTTGGCACGGATTGTCGCCACCCTATGGCCAAAGGGGCACGATCTCCAATATCTTACATATGGAACGATTGCTGTGGGCACGACCCCTTATGTCTCTGTAGGTGAAGAAATCACAGCCTTTTCTCGAATGCAAGCGGGTGGGGTAGCTTCGTCGTCCGTGCTCCCTCAAATATGCTGCAGCACTCTCTTCGCTCCGGATAAAGGAATAAAACTTCGAGAAAAGCATCCTGAGCAACTAATTGTTCTCGAGAATTTGATGAGTTTATATACTGAATTCGCAGATAAGCGTGGAGAGGATTCCACTACCCCTCAGCACAGGGCAGGGTATATGCTGCAACCCTTGGCAACAACGAAAGGGTTAACTCATGGGCTTTGACATGAGACGGTCCCGTAGTGATATACGTTCAAATAAGTTTATTCCACAATTCCGGGTATTTAATCACGTTCGTTTTGACAAATAAAATTTGTCCCATTAATCGGTGAGCCAAATTTGTGGATTTCCCCCTCCCCCCAAATTATTTTCAACCAGGTATTCGTGAGGTGGAAATTCGGTACACCGTTCAATCACGTTTATAACATCTTCATTGCAATTGGCATCTACGAACATTCATCTCCAGTTACAGGACTCAAAGAGTCAGAGTGAGCCATCGATAAAAATAAACACCCTACCTCACGAATGCCGGAAGGGCTCTACGAACAGTAAAATAATGCAGAATGTAATGGGTTAAGCAGGAGATGCCGCGTGTAAGCAGGGCTTCGAGGTGATACAAGGCATCATTTCCCATGAAAAATTCTCCCCATATCCTGCGCCTTTTCAAGTGGTATACCTCGTTTTATCCTGGATGCTGCCATGACTGCAAATTGCATAATTAAGAAGCAGGCCGCTGATTGACATAAAATATAATCGGAAAATCGTAGGCTTTTTTTGCTATATTGCGAGAACGTTCCATTTCTTCTTGCGTGTTTTGTTTTTTCGATGAGAAAGAGGACCTTTTTTTATTGTGAGCCACGCAAAGATTAGTACTATTTTTTTTAAAGCCTCGATTACATTCACAAAACCATTTTCGATTCATTTCCAAGCCTGCACATGAATGCAATGAAATCAGAAGAGTACAACAGGTATGCAGGGAATGATTTCGCGGGGGCACTTTAATTTCAATTAATTTATTTACTTGCAATTAAAACTTAAAATCAAATAATCGGTCGATTAATCGACTCGAATTGGCAGCCCTTTTGAAAAGCCATCATTATCTACAGTAGCTCTCCAAAGATGCTCAACTTCCGTACTAGGATGAGGAGCAAAGATGAGAAAAGACCATGTCAGGCAGGCGCAGGATTATGGCTTTCTTCTTAGAAATCTTGGAAATCAATATTATATATATATATATATTTTTTTTTTTTTTTGCAAGAAACACTGTATTGTCCCATATCTTCAGGAATCGATTCCCTTAGAGCGACTCTAGCTACATCAGTCTTCCAAGCAGTATCTCACGATACGAGGTATGATTCGAGACAATGATGCTGAGACGGTACTGGAAAGACGATGAACGATGCGAGACGACAAGCTTTTCTATGAATGAGAGATAAATTACCTAGGTGGGGAAAGGAGAGTGTAGCCAGTCTGCGGAAGACCAAAGAGAAAGGGACGAGACCAAAGGTGGATATATCGATCAGACAGAACGGGGAACGTGGACATGTAAAAGGAAGCAGGGGATCATGATGAGGCGGGCTTATCTACTTATGCCCGGGCAGATAGATGGATGGATGGATGGATGAGAGAGAGGCAGTGACTCAGGATTTCCTCCCTCCCTCCCACCCACCGACCACACTGATGGACTCCTCGTGTTGTGCACCCCGCCTTCCTCCTCATTCATTCGTCGTCGAACATTTCCTCCCTCTCATTCTGGGATGAGTCGGCCCGAACAAACGTCCTGTCGGATTGCGTGTCTTCCTTTCCTCTCTCCGTCTGTCGGCAGTTTTCACGTGAGTTTTTCTATCGTGCTTTACGACTTAATCGGTGTCGTCATTCAAGATGCGCGAGTGGGAAATCTTTCTGTCATGACGTCTGTCGAGGCCATCGAGTGTTCGGCAGAAAAAAAACCCAGCAAAATGGACGAACGTTGGAGAGCTGTCTCTCCTACGACGATCTGCCCCACCACCTTTCTCTGGCCAACCATAGCAGGAGTGCTGACTTCGCAGTAGCCTCAATAAGCTGGCTTCACTTTGAACGTCTGGAATATTAACTGCTTACTCAACATATTTGGTGTACAACATGCGTGTCCTCTATAGAGGGCAGGGTAGCAGAATTATGCCATTGGAATTCATTATTTAAGCGGGCTTGGCTTGTCGAATATTATTACGCTTGCAGGGGTGTCCAAAGTATGGCCTGCTGTAGGATCCGCCACATCATACATTTCTCATTCAAGTAAATAAGAGGAAGGCATGATTTTATCCGAGGTATCATTTTTTATAATGCGTTTCTCATTTATACAAAATAAAATAAATAAATAAAATATATATATTTGGCCATCTGGCCCACTCTATTCTTTTTGCTTCCCATGTGGTACGTCACTCCAAAGTTTTGAACACCCCTGTTCTATAGGAATGACAAAAAAAGTCTACTCTTATTATGCAAATAATGAGGAATTTTCATGTGTACCATGCGGTTACAATGTCAAGTCCACTTGGTGAAATCATATTTTGGCAGACGGAATGGATGGACAAATGTACTCATGGCCCAAAAAAATGTGACGTCAAGAACGAAAAGGGCTAAGAACTCGGCACAGGAACTTAGCACAGTGTGTATTTAAAAAATTCATTGAAATCGACTTAAAATGGGTTAATATTAGGTTCGTAGGGACTCTACAGGGAAACCCGCTAAACACTCAGGTGAATGTGTTAGCGCTTGAATGTGTTTAGAGAGGGGATTGCATTCATTGTCATGCCAAATGACTTGTATTAATACATTGCTTGAGTCCAGCAATATTCGTTGGAATACTCAAAACACAGTTGGACCAAGGGAGCTCTAGGAAACACGCAAATCACCGGTCTTCCCATTTTGATATACCAGCTATAATTTCCAGCTGGTTCCCAGCAGTAAATTCAAACCAATTCCACCAGAGAAGCAGCTGGAAAAGGCTAATCCAGGGTTCTCAGCTGGGTTCTAGCCAATTTTGTTAGCTGTTTTCCGTTGTAAAAGCTCGACTGGGATTTTAAATAGGGGATCCTCCGACTAGAATGGAGCTAAATTTTCAGCTGTAGTCTATCTGCTGAACTGCAGTGCGCTAAAAAAAAAAAACGAACGAAACCGTTCTCAATTCAATTGGTAAATTCAAGCTGGAAACCAAAGCGGATCTTGCTTAATATCGCAGCTGTTCCCCAGGTGGAATGTGTCTGAACTTACAGTTGCGGTCTAGTTGAAAGTTATAGCTGTTGCTAGCTGGGATATTAAGCTTGGTTTCTGATGAGCCTTTCATGGATCGGATTCCTTGCTTGTACAGTCGTGAAGGAACCCTGGGACACCGCTTGGAACCGTGGAACTTGGAACAAAAGGACCGTGCTCCATGGGTAGAGGTCTGCATCGGTATCGTTCAGAGCGTGAAATTCTAAGATTAATGATTATGGCGCTTTTATTTTCAACGATATCAGAGAAAATCTAACACGAAAAGGCTTCAATCACAGAATTAACTGCAACCTCTGGTGAAATATACTTGAAACCTGAATAAGACCATTGCAAGTCATTTCGAATGAATTCACCCCAACTCTCTATTGAGATTATGGGGTACGGGAGGGGTGAGTTTTATCGAGCAGCAATCAGATTTTTATGGATCGTTTGAGTCGGAGGTGTGCATGCCTGCAAAAATTATTAGTTTTCGTTACAATCCTATTGGATGCATTGACACCGCAGATGGGAATATTGCTCGTACACTCGTAAGATTCACGCTGTGTGGCATCTTATGTGAAGTGTGACGGACGCGGCCAGTAACCTTGACTGTCTTATAGGGTACTCCAATGATAACAAATGAAATGCCTTACTGTCACTATTTGATACTTTCGGACTCATACGCGAACTGGATTTCACGCAGACTCGATTTGTTCTAATAGACAGCCCTAAGTACGTTCAAGTTTTCGGTTCGATACTCTTCTAAATGACACGCGTTCATGTTCATATGAGCCGCAGCACGGTTATATCGTTAAAATCTAGTTATGTATCCTGAGGTACAATCGTAAAACGTGATCGAGACAAACACGAAACGGGTCAAGGGGACAGTATGAAGAGGATCGGAAAAACGTATCAAGGCTGATAACGTTTTCCTGATCTGCCTCGTTCTGTCCTGAATGATAGGGTCCATTAGTCCGTTGCCGCGCCTTGTAACTGTTCGCAGGCCAGCGTTTCCTTCATTCGAGGTGTCCCATGTCATTTTACAGTGACTTCGCGATGAGTTCACACACCCTTGGAGGGCAAACTTTTGTTTTCTATGGCTTTGAGGCCAGAGGAACTAAGATTTCGCATGGTCTCACATATAGCGTAACCTGGTATTTGGTAAATGTCCCGAGCATCAGCGGCCTTAAGAGGGTGTGTGGACTCATCGCGAAATTCCTCTGCGCCCCTGCGACGATTCTTTACTACTGGGGATCTTGAGTACGTCCAAGAATTTCAATTACTGTACTCGTATATGCGCTTAAGGAATAACTCTGTAACACGACAAAACGGAAATATTCGCTCTTCCGTTATCGTGACTCGAAAAGTCAAGGTCTTTGCGGAAAATTCCTCTGCCCTGATCTGCATCTCATCCTGTCGAGATTCCCATTGCATGAGCATTGAATTCAGAGCAAGAGGCATTGTGTGGAGTTGAACTGCTGGAGAGTTGGACACGCAATGGTGCCTACCCTCTTCTTCAGAGGATGGACGTATTCTTTTTTTTAAGAGGGGCGGAGGGGGTGACAACGACGACAGTGGCGTCATTTACGTCCAGTGGTGTCCAATGGACTCCCCAGAGTATATATTTCATTGCATTACTCTCTGGCAATTTTTCGAAAATTGCTACCAATTTAATGTGTCTTCCATAGAATCTGTGGATTCAAAAACGAATTTTTAAAGTTTTTATTTGCTTTTAAGGAAAAATTCTTAAAATGTTTGCCCTTGCCCGTTTGTGAAAAAAAAAACCTAGCCCGGATAAGGGTTAAGTGCTTAGTGCTCCCTCTAAGGAATTTTTTTTGGTCACACGAGAACTTTCGTGCAGAAACCAGCACGCGCTCTGCACTCCGCACCCCTTCCACCTCTCCCCGCCACCGGCCACCACCGGAAGCGCTGCTATCGAGACGGGAGCCTGGGACATCGTACAGAATGGCCGTTTTACAATTGGCTCCTCGCAGATGACTCCGTGGCGACGAGTCAACTTGCAAAGCATTCGCTTCGTGCCATTTTTTTTAAATTGGATACTTTCGCTAAAAAAAAATGCACACATTTTTCGAACTAGAAAAGGAAGGAAAAAAAAAACTTAGTAAGCATATTGGGATGATATCGATTTCCTTTCCGTTCGTAATTCACATATTGATTACGGTTCCATTTCCAGTTTTGAAAATTTTGCCGGTGTTGAGTTCGTTCCGTTTCGAAGCTCTAATGATGAATTTGAATTGTAAGAAAAATGCAACGGAAAGGGAGGGAGGGAAGTGAAATGGCCCAAAGGCTCCGCGCTTTTCCTTAAGCATTATTATCTCTACTTTGATAATCACCTGAAACCCCTAGAAAACGTTGCTGCACTACAATCGCCACCTAAAGAACTGTCCTTCACTTTCATCCCTCGGGTCTCACCCTTTTAGAGTTATCGCCCTTGGTGGTACGCTCTCGTGTCGAAGCTCGCTAGTAGGCTGACTGCTGTCAAATTTATTCATGTTTGCTTCCTTGCTTATTTAAATGACCGCAATGCAATGGCAATTGCATACACGGTGTTCATCTAATACTGTATGAGGGTAGGTCCCCTAATCTGACGACATGGAGCCTGTCGGTCCGGAAGTAACATTCTGATGCGAGTGCTGAGTCACTTTCAAAAACGCGTCTAAATATTCCTATAGGGAGAATTCGTTACGAAATTTGTTGAATGGGGGGGGGGAGGAGGTGACCTTTCAGAACGAGTTGAAAGCAGTTGAGTGGAGGGAAAACTGGCATAAAATAAAGGAGAACCAGAGGTCTGCGGTCCGGAGAATAGAAGCTCGCAGTCCGCAGGTTGAGCGCCTTTGGCGTAGGTCCTACTTTACTCTGGTGTTCTTTGTCCTTCCGGAGACTTGCGTGATGCCAGATCTCGAGACTTCAGCGCGCAGTCACAAAGGATATGTCAACCCAGCTCGAGTCTATCGTCAATCATCAGTTATTTTTCCATCCGAGGTCAGGAGTCCCCCCAGGTCACTCGTTCTAAAGGTTTCCGGGGATCGAGGTCGAGGTCGGGGACAGGCAGACAGAAAAAAAGGTGGATCGATGTGTGAAGAACAGCACGAATCATCGCGTTTCCTCTGCTTTTTTCTTATCCCGTCCGTGTTCTTCCTCCATCTTCTTCGCCGAGAGTAATGGCTTCCTGTGATGATAATAGCTAGCCCAGAGACACGAAGCTCGAGTCCATCCTTTCCCGGTTGTTATGGCCCTGACGAATCTCGGTGAGGAATGGTTGAATAATTACTGTTCCGTGCTATTCTACATAATTTGGCCGCGAGGGAATCTCTCTCCCATGCATGAAGGGTGATTATCATGAACTCCTCTCGTGACCCCTCGGTCGAAGGAATGCATGACTTAATCCCTTAATGCGTAATGTCCTCTTTTCCTCCCCTTGACTTATTGCCTCGTCGCGTGCGTCCCGTACCCCCTTCCACGTCCCCTCTAAGACACTCCCGGACAGACGCATGCTACCATGACGAGGAAATCGCTTCGAATGAGCATTACGGTGCCTTGAACCGTTTTGGAAAAGGCTGTACGTCTAGGAACGGTAGGAGGGGGCGATGATGCATAGGATAGGAAGGGAACTGGGGGTCTATTTCCTGGTCCCAATGTCGCTCTCTCACGGAATCTCTTCTCCGATTATATGATCTGATAAAGAGAGATGATCACGAAGGCGAAGACCTGCTCACAAAGTAGGAGGAACTAGTGCAGGCGTGTTCTTCATCGTGCAGGTGAGGCGTGCCCTGTAGAATGAGGGAGAATGACTCTCCGATTAGAAGATTTCCTCATCGACAAGAAGAAAGAGGCTGCTCCTCTCTTGGATCTCTCAAAGACGAAAATCCAGACCCAGGATGACCTGGAAAAGCTCATCGCCAGGCTACCCGACCTCAAAATCCGACCCGAAAAGGTTCGTTCCGAGTGTCAAAAGTAATCCGAACTCGTCAACTTTGCCCTCGGTGTAGCCCAATCGGTTCCAGATGTCAGGAGAGATAGAAACTGGTATCTGCAGATTTTTGCAATTGGATTAAAGGTGAGTCCATGGATGTAGTTTATTTAGATTTTGTTTAACCAAGTAGCTACCAGAACCCGGATGGTCATATGTTTAACTCTGTTTCATCTCTTCATCCCCAAAGAATCTCTTCACAATAATTTGCCTAATTACTATCACATGTCTTCATGAATATTCACCGAGTATCGGGCTTTTCAAATTCACGGCGAAACCTACACAAATGGCAAAATTTATAAATCAGGGTACATTGGACCGAGAACGTATTTACAGGGTTAATTTGAGAGAGGTCCTCTTCGGCTGATTCCGGATTTCCAGTCGCAAAAGTCTCTTATGATCTAAGCAATTTTTTCTGATTTTTCTCGATCTAACTCGAGTATCTAAGTCATTAATTGTGGAAGAGAAGAGGACTTGTAAGAGATTCTCAAAGAACCCCAATCAGGACTAGATGAATAAAAACCCTTTCACGTCTACAGGGTATCCCATATGTCGAATAACACTTTTAAAAAATATTGATGGTTACATACACTCCTGTTCATACCGGCTTCTTATGCATTGCCCATAAATAAATTAAATGTTGCATCATGGCAAAATTGTGACAGATTTGCTTGCATCCTTTTTATTTGCTGGTATCCGTTTATTAAAACAAGTTGCACAAAAGGAGTTGAAAAATCATGGACATATTACATTTATTCAGATAAAATTACATTTATTAATTGGAAAGAGACAGGTTTGCAAACCTGGAAATTTTGTTGAATAAATGGAGTATGAATGGTTCATGTTAATTTAACCCTTTTAGTGCCAGAGTCGATTAAATCGACGCTACGAATTTCGCATTCAAAGAGTCGAAGAGGTGGTGTTAAACGGGTTGAAAAAAGGTCTTTCGTCATAGAGTTCGATCGTGTTTCTTCTCAAACTTCAACCCTCTTAGTACCAGCTCTTCGACAATGGCATTTTAAAACAAAATTTGTAGCGTCGATCTAATTGACGCTGGCACTAAAAGTTCTAATAAAAGTAAGGCAAACGAAATGAAGACACACAAAGATACCAGAAGTCAATGGTATGTCCCTCAATCGATCAATCAAGCGTGACATGGGCCTTAGGACTCCCTGCATCTGGAAAAAAAAAACTATCTATGCAAACAATATTTCACTGTAGGTGAAGAGAGAGGAGGTGCGAGTCAGAGAGACCCATTTTCTATTTTCGTGTAAACGTGGACGGGGGAGACCAGGATCGGCAGAACGAGATCTCCAGTCCGAACATTCGCCCCCTCCCGCTCCTCCAATTCAGCATGGGCAAGGACAAGGACATCATCGACTGGCATCAGGATCAGAGAAATCGACTTTTCCCTATGCTTCCCCCGTCCCTCAGTCGATGAGAAACGTCCGGATCCAAGACCTGAGTGCCGTGGACATCGACTGGAGAATGCTCACCCTCCAGAGACCTAAGTCCAAGGTCGAGGAGGACATATTTTCGAGGTCATTCAATCCGCTTTCCAAAATTTACGTGGTCAGAATGTTGCTCTCACAGTGTTGACGTAAAATCAACGCCACATCGTTCGATCTTTTTAATTTCCCAGCCCGCGCGGTTGGGAGATTAAGAAAATATTTTTTCACCTTCCAATCTCTATTCGTTCATTTTTTCTCTCCCCTCACTTTATTAACTTTATTAACTCACTTTATTAAGTGCAGCACCAGATCTTGGAAAACCAATATTTTCCTTTGGTTATAACCTTTAACCATTGCACGTGCTGATGATAAGTCAAGGCTGATTTATTGCTACCTTCTAGAAAATATTATGGTACCAGTGGTCTGTTAGGGTTCGGATTACCTCTGGTTTATCCAAGTCGTGCCTAGAGTATGTTGGGTTTCAAGTATCCAAGTCAAGTTTCGTGTTCACGTTATTCGCAGTCTAAGCATGAGTCCATCAACGTGTAGGCGAATGTGAAACGAAAATAGGCAATCTTGAATTGAGGCGAAATATGCCGAGCTGTGAGTTTGAACCGTGGAGAATGCTGTCAATCTTAAAGTAAAAATTTCCTTTAAAACTTATTGCTTCTGAATAATGCCTTCTACAGTACGCGTCAAAACTAACGTACTATGGTTATCTCTTATTCAACGAGAGATGTAGGAAAACCTTTTATATCAACAGAAAGTACATACAGAGCCCTGATCTCAATACAGAATATAATCGCCCTGCGCTTCGACTACAGCACGTAATCGGCCCGGCATCGAGTCTGCCAATTTTTTGGCAAATTCTTCACTCAGATTCTCCCACTCCTCCTTAAAGTCTTGATCGTTCTGGGGCGCCGATGCGCCACTTTGACCTTCAAGAGAGCCCACACATTCTTTATGGGGTTGAGGTCGGGAGACTGCAACGGCCAGTCCAAATGGACACCCCATTCTCATCCCTCCAGTTGGTCGCCTGCTTTGAGGTGTGCTTTGGATCATTGTCCTCCTGCAGCACCCAAGTCTTCATCGAATCGGGAAACATAGTGGCTGCAGAAGGTAAGAGGGCACGCTCATAAATGGTCTTCAGCAGATGCGCATCCAGGTTCTGGGTGAAGGTGCAGATCTTCCCAATCCATCCAGTATAGAGGCAGCCCTAAGCATGCACCTTACCCAGGTGTTTGACAGTCTGAGCGATCACTCTTTTCCCTCCACCATTTCTGTCTCTTGATATATTTTAAGTCAACCGGTCTTCGCTGGCTTTGAGATCTTTTGTGCTTTGCGATGGCGCAGAAGAGAGCTTCGGACGCAAGAGACGAGCGACATGAAATTAATCTCCTAGCGATTCTTCATTGAAAGTAGCATTTTTCCTCACGCCGATGAAAAACAGCTGCATAACGGGGATCTAACGAACTAGAGTCACCCATTTTTTTAGGCGGATCAGCACTCATGGGCAGCTGTCCTATGCAAAACGTTTGAGCCGCGTAGGTTCCCTATCTTTCGAGATAACCCTGATACGTTAATTTTGACGACCACTGTAATTTAGGAGGTGCCAGAGACTTAAGTTACGAAGGCTGATGTATTGGGGCTGAGGAATCGGGTTTAGGTCCTTTCCGCGGAATTCCTGAATTCCGTTATACAATTGGATTTGATTATGCTTTGTTATTGTGCAGATTGGTTTCCCTGGATAAAGGAGACAAGAAGGCTCGATCTCGGGAATCAGGGCCTCCAGTGAAGCAATTGATAAGGACTAAGTCCAAACCTCGCTCAAAGGCTGCAGTTGTCCCTGAAACGAAATTCCAGGTCTGTCTCCTCTCTCCTTGTCCCCTTTCAGTGAAACATCCATATTCAATAGTGTACTCTTCAAAGGATTCCAATTCATGCTCTTCATTCAAATTGCACCTTTTACGCTATGAATTTTCTGGCTGTTCAACGGTCCCACCTTATTAGCAGTGCGATGTCGCTCTGGCCTCAGCAGGAAGAATTTGTATCTGTTGTCATATCAGAGCAAGAACCAAGCAAAATTATAACATGAAGCTATTTCTGAATCCCCAAGAAATAAGGGAGCCATTTCCTTATTTAATATCATTTGAGACACATCAGCTAGAGATAATCAAAGAAAGAGGGGAAATCAATACAAAGGCAAGGAAAGTAATCTAAGCTCATGGAATTACAAATAATTAAAAGTCCTCTATAAAATGCCCTACTGGAATTAGCTGTTAAATTGAGGGACAAATGGATTTTCTATGTAATGCAAGTTCAAACGTGTTCTGATTTGACTGCAGACATGCCGAAATTGCGCAGAGGAATTGTGCTCTGGAGCATGCAGAGAATTTGGCTATGAGGCATTTGAACGAGTGATCCTAGAGGAGAAAGAGAAAGAGGGTGGGCTGGAAAAGAAGGACCTGGATCTGGCTACATTGCTGGGCGGAGGAGCTGTTTCCTCCCGACTAAGAAGAGACTCCCATAGGAAACTGACTAAGAAACGGAAAAAGAAGAAGAAGAAGAAGAAGACTACACAAGATGATCAAGGAGGGACAAATGTAGAAGATGAGGCAGATGATGCGCCCAATCACCATCTTTCTTCGTTGCTGCTTCAACCAGAAAGTATTTCATAATTTTGGTGCTCAAGCAATCAAATTTCATTCTTGTGATGCAATGTGAATATAGATGACAAGTTGATGCTAAAAGTGCAGCTACACTTCTATAACTAACTAGGTGTGCTAGCTATGAGATGGGGGGATGGGACCTAGTGTCAAATAAAAGCCTTGGGAATGGAGATGACAAATATCTTCATCATGCAAAGGAGCACAGGAAATCCAAATCTTCCTCATTGTAAATACAGTATATGCACCAAAACAGACTATCAACAGTACAGAAAAGGGAAAAATGAAATGCAAACATGAGGTGAACTGGAAGCTCTTCCAAGCATTATATCACAGGTTCACAGCAGAACAAAGGCATTGAATGGCATCTGGACAATTGTGGCATCTCTTCAGGCTTTGCTTCTGAATTTGTGAAAAGGTTGGAGCTCTGCAAGATCTCCATAACCAGGATCTCAATGGGCTCAGGAGGCATTTGAGTCTGCAATGAAACACACAAAAGAGTTGTATTTCCATTTTGTTTTACTAAACTTAAAGGGTAACCTTCTCCTTAAACACATGGAAACTTCAGATTTCTAAGATTTAGGCAATTACAAAATTCAATACTGGTCACAAACCAATAGTTAGTCCAGGGTACTGAGTGACCATGGCCAGTCTTTTCATTTTTCATTTTAGGAACAATAATTCTCAGTCACAAATCAGATGATATCTGTTCCCACTGTAGTCCACAATATTTATTATATCTTTCCTTTCATGAGATTTTCAAGGAGAGATTCATCAGATGAACAGTCAGGTCTCTTAGAATTATTGCCAGTGCACCTAATGAAGGATAATCCAATTTAAGAAGGTTGACCTGGGATTTTCTCATAAGACATGACCATGTCAAACTGTAGTGTTCTAGCTTTTGCCTTGAGGAGTTGGCTTGGTGAATGAGCTGTCAGCATGATTTCAGTAACAGTAGATGGATTGCTACCAAAACCATTATCATGCAGTTTCCTTTCATGAATTGGACACAGGTGCATATGTCAAGGACATGGCAGTCCACCCACACCCACTATATGTATAGGGTTTTTAAAAAAAGAAGGTACACCTTAAATATGATTTCTTTCTTGTTATACAGTGTTATAAGTCAGTTTAGCTACTCAGAAAGGTTTATGTCAGCATCTTTGGATTGCAGGGCCTTGATTCCCGGTAGAGCAGTTTGTGGCACCAAGGGGAAGTTTGTGGGTCATTGTCATCATATGCAGGGGGTGCCACATTAGCTGCAAAAGGCACTGGGGAAATAAAACCTCAAAATCTTCTCCTGATCACTGCATCCACTAGGGGAAGCAGATGACTGACCACCAATTAGAGAATTGGAGGCTTAAAAGCAGTGATTTCATGGTATATGAAGTCCTTCAGCTCTGCAAGTTTGACTTTTATAAGCAACTGGTGTGAGTGCCCCTGCAGAATGCTTTTATTACCACTAGCATCCAATGTGTGGTGTCCCCATGAGTGATGATGGATCCATAATCCATCTCCCCAGGTACCTTGTACTGTTCTACCAAGATTCAAGGTCTTATTGTCCATAGATACTGAGATAAACCTCTCTGAGAAGCTAAACTGACTTAAAGGTCAACTTGAATATTAACCCAATATGAACATTTTTTTAAACTATAAAGAAAAAGGATTAAGCTTTATTTTGTTGAAAACTAAATAAAAATCAATCTATACTGAAGTATGATCAAAGACATGCAGACATTTTGAAATGAACCAGCCATGTGAGCAACAAATTATGCTAGCCATCCATAATTTTCTTGTCAATGCATGTAATTTTGCACTGCTCTGCTGATTGTTGAAAATCTTATTATGTGCTTAAAGGTGTGCTGTCATGAAGGAGCAGATCTTCAACAGGTACTTCTTAGACATAGTGATAATGAGTAAATTCATTTGAGACTAATTTTCAGGACTCTATCTCACTTCAGAATCAAAACATTTTCGTGCAGTCCTTGGCAATAGAGAACTTCATCTTTTGTATTTTTTTTTATTACTAAGTAATGAATGCAGCATAATACAAAAAAAAATAGAATCTTAAATTAACTTTTTTTTGAGGCAGCTTGTACTTTCTTGAGTCCAAGGAAGATGCAGGATTGTTTCTTCTTAAGTTAATCATATCTTTTTAATGACTTTCATATCGATGAAAGCAAAGAATTCCCCAAATGTTTCCATTAATGCTGACTGAGTGGTCTCTGATGAAGTACAATCTATTCAGATTATAAGGAAGCAAGAGAATTCCCGGTATGAGAAAGCCCATCTAGCAATTATGACCATGAATACATATGAAGAAGTCACAAACCAGCAGAAACTGTATGGTAGGATGCTTGGACAAGAGCAGACTGGTCCTCAAAGAGACACAACTGCAAAGAAAAATATGAAATAATAGCACCAAATGCACAGAAGAATATAAATGCTGAAATATGTCTCATCTCATTATGACTACCTCTTCACCTCAGCACAACAATTGGTATCTCTTACAATGAGGAAACTACCCCAGCAACATACAAAAAGAAATCAGAAAAAAAGTTGTCACTCTGCATTTCAACCCACTCCCTCCATATCAAAGGTGCATCAAGCTTACCTCTGGGTGGTTCATAGAGATCTTCTGAAATTCTCGCACAAAGGTGAGGATAAACACATTGAATGCACTGGCCATAACCCATTCTGATGCAGTGGAAGCAACATGAAGTTGAAATCCACCATCTTCTGGATACCATTTCCTCATGTTTTTTCCTGAAATGAGATTCCCACTGATAGTTTTTTTTTTTTTCAATTGTTCAGTTACCTAAAATTTACAGGCTCCCACTTTAACTGATGTAATGTAAACTTAAAACAACAGATCTTGGGGTAAGATGCTAGTAAGTCAATATGCAATTTATAAAAAGAAGAAATATGTTGCTACAAGGGGATGCAAATCTGAAAACAGAGGCTCACCTAATTTGATAAGTAGCTACAATAATTATACAAATTAAAAAAATTTTTAAAAAGGTTTGCCAAGGGTTAATTCAGAGATACAAGTTTTTCTTTGCTGGAAGCTTTTGAAATACTGAGTACTCATGACTAGCATTTTCACAAAAAATTGTCAGGTACTGGTGATTTTTCTGAGATTGAAGCTATCTGCTTAATAAAAAAAAACTCACTACCAATCTCTCATGCAAGATATTGAAATTTCAAATTCAAAATTCAGTGACTTGATTCTTCAAAAATTATTTTTGGGGTCAACAACTTCAAACATAACTTTTCTAAATAGGAGACAATTTAAACTATCAATATCTATCTGAATTGACAGTGCTTGAAATGGTGTTGATGCAAAATTTTATCTTCAGAAACAGCTGAGAAATTACTGTGAAAGCACAATGTTTCTACTTCCCATCATTTTTTGGCTGCACTATTCAAAAACCATTCACCAGGAAAACTAAGTTTTCTTGGTGAATTCCAGGTTCCTAAGGTTCCAGGTTTTTCTTGTTGACAGAAGCATCCTCTGCAATACTTGGTAAGAATGAAAGGAAAACCATGCACATGAACATTGTTTTGGTTACTCATAAGATCATTTATTTGAGTGAGACTTGAATTCGATTACCATGGAACTGTAGTCTTGCCAAGGTACCACAGATGGAGCTGATAAAAAAGAAGACCGTTGTTATGAGGGATAGAGCAGTTCGGAAGTGAGCCATGAAGAGGGTGTTCACCACAGGATGCATCTTATATGACAGCACCGTCTACCATGATATCATCCATTTTTTCATACTTCCATGTACCAAGCCCTTCTCTAGTAGCAACATCATAAAGAAAAAAGCCAGGAATAATGGTCCTCAACTCACTTGCAGCCATATATAGGCAGTCCCCACACCAAAAGCTAGGAAGGCTCCAATCATATGGACTACAAACACACTGGTTTCCTGGAAGTTTGAAACAATACTAACACCAAATGCAGCAATTATGCCAAGCCAAAGACTTGCATGGTTCAGGCGAATAATGGTGGAGCTACTGGAGTGATTTGGGTGGTACTCGAGGATCTGTCGGTATCGCACATAAACAGTGATACCCACTGAACAAGAGAAAAAAGTGACATTCAAATTCTTGACCCCAGAAAGCAACAGTAAAGAACTGAATGAGCACTCACAAAGAACAGTTCCAACAGTGAGGAGTTGACTAAAGATGCAGCTCTCTGGAGGGGTAGTCCCAGTGTCACTGATGTATGGAAAATCGACCTCAACATGTCCCAGTAATATGGCTATGGAGAACCTACTCCCCAACACAAAGTCAATTACCTGGCCCATTCTTTGCAGCTTAAGAATAAGTGATCGGACTGAGTTCATGAAACATACGTGGTGATGAATGTTGCAGGGAATATGATGAAGACCCCAGTGGGGAAGTAATGTAGTTTCATCATGGCTCCCTGCAGAGGCAGCCATTTACTAATACTGTTGAAAGGATATTTGCTACATCAACAGAGTAAAATTTCTTGAATTTTATGTCTTATACCAATAATTGTATGACAACTTCTTTTGGCTGAATTCAAGATCTTAAGTAGGTAAATGCTAACAACTTCCCATGCAAGCCCAACAATCAGGCTGCATTTGTGAGACAGATATGGGTTTCAAGAACCTTTTATTTTTCATTTTCAACTTATTTTCTCCTCTGGAAACATGTAGTCAATTTTAAAATTTGAAATTACTTCCTGCTTCTTTACATCAAATTAGCAAGCTTTTTGGGTAGATTGAATGTTACATTATGGAATGAACTCAACCTGAAAATGTAAGAAGTCAATCTGAATCCCATACAGACACAATGCAGTGGAATCTGATGAAGGAGAAAATAGTACAACTCCACCTTCTGAGTAAGAAAATGACATGACACTTCCTAAACACTTTAGGAGTTGCTCAATCAACAAGTAGTTGTGTATTTTATAAAGAAATCAAATGGCAACAAGATTAGTTCACTCACATTTATTTCATTTGGATATAGGATAAAGAACATATAGAAAAGCTTTAGTACCGGACTCATGGAGGCCACGAAAAAGAGCAACCTGATATTTTTTTTGTCTTATAAATCCTTCAGCTTAAAAGCATCATTTGAAAGACCAAAGGCAATGTTTGCAGCAGTTTGTTCCACAGGGCTGAATGAATCTGAAGGTGGGAAATTCAAGAATTCTGTTTGTGTTAAGGAAGCAATGAGATCCATATCTTTCAAGGAGGAATTATCCAATGTTTCAACATTTAAGTGACTCAGATGTGATGGATCTTCTACAGGTCTGAGTTCACTCAATTCCACCCCTTCATCATGTTCTGATATGTTCTGTGACAATTCCACATCAGGGACATGGGAGTCTCCCTGTATATTTCGGACAACAACCAACAGTGAATCACCATCCTTTGAGAGTCCTATCTCTCCCTCACTGTGCAGCATTTGCAGGATGGCTTTCTCTGTGTTTTCAACATCTGAAACCTGCATCTTGGTTGCAGCATGATGAATAGACTTCTGGTGCTTTCTGAGATTAGATGGATTCCCAAATTGCTTGCCACAAGTTTCACAGGTATAAGGCTTCTCACCAGTATGCGTCAACTGGTGATGCAAAAGAGGGAGTTTCTGCATGAAGCTCTTCCCACATACTTCACAGACATGGGACTTGGGCCAATTGTGTCTGTTGTAATGCTTTCTTAAGGAGGCTGGAGAAGTAAAATTTTTGCCACATTTTCCACATTGAAATGAGGCAGAACTATGAATCTGAACATGAGCCTTTGCACGATATAAGCTGGCAAATGATTTGAGGCACACAGCACAAATGTAGGGCTTCTCACCAGTGTGAATTCTTCTATGCTCAATCAAATTGGATCGCTGAATGAAAGATTTTTGGCAAAAATCACACTGAAACTTTCGCTCTCCAGTGTGTGTGCGAATATGATTGTCCAAAGTGGTTTTCTGTGCAAATCGTTGACCACAATGATTACATTCGTACTTTCTAATGTCCCGGTGAGTCAAGAGGTGATTTGCTAGGCTGCCACGAGATCGGAAAGTTCTGTTGCAAAGGGTACAGAGAAATTGACTCTTTGGATTGTGAGTTGTTAAGTGCTGAAGGAGAATTCGCCGATGCCGGAAAGTCTTGTGACAAGTCTGACATTCATGACTCTCTAGTTTATGGCAGGCTTTCACATGATAACTCAAGGCAGCTCGGGACTTGAATTCTTTCACTGGATCACAATGTATGCAAATTGATTTTGATGGATGGAGTTCTTTTCTGTGGGCAATAAGAGATGCATATGAATCAAACTGAAGGTTACAATTCTTGCATTGAAAGGCTTGAGCTTTCTTTTTTTTCCGACTGGATGATGATTTCAAGATTTTGTCCTTGTTTTCCTTCCCCTGATCACTAGGACATTGCATGGAAATTTGTGAAATACCCTCAGATCTCCCCTCACACCCTATGAGATTCAGCTTTGAAGTTGAGGATAGATTTTCACTAGCATCAGACTCATCTAGATGATCCTCTATTGCACAATCTATTTTCTGGAATTCACTGCTATTGCAACCATCTAAGGAATCCTTTTTTAATGCTTCTACACTGGGCATCCTCATAGTCATATCAGGAATTCCTCTACTCATCTGGTGCTTTGAAGAACTATCTTCACCAAATGTTCCATCATGGCAACTATCATTGGGGCTTTTCTGTAGCTCATTGGAGACTAGACTTTTGAGCGTATCAGGAAGTGTAGAAAAAGATGTGTTAGGCAAGAAAGTTCCAACATAATTGGGATCAAAGTCAAATGTCAGTGTACAGTTGCCAGAGAAGCTATCCAGAGGCAACCCAGTAGTTTCAGTGTCCCCTTCTGAGACATTCAAGCCGAGGATTTTTTTAACTTCACGTGACAAAGCTCCTTGTTCATGTGTGACATTTTCTCCCACATCAGAAGTAGATAAAAGATCTGGAAGTTGGGCATGCTGCCTGTCATGAGTATCTGATAAAGATGCAGGTGAAATAGATGAGGACTGCTCACAACCTGCATCACTCAAGACATAGGCTACAGTATGTGGCTGCTGACATACTTCACTTTGAAACATAGCCAAAACTGGAGATTGGGGTTCCATTTCAGCAGCTTCTGTTTTTGAAAATAACTGAGTATTGTCCTGTTTAGATGGTTGGGATGGCAAATTTACACCAACATCCAGCAATGGCTCTTTGTCAAGAACAGTTGATGCATTAGACCCAAGTGTGAAATTTCCATGAAAGCACACTCCTGGTTCGGCAGATTGAGAACTGAATAAAGATGATTCAGCAACACCACTTGGGTCAGTCTTGGTCTTTCCTGCACAGTGATGATCTTCTCCTTCATCCAAGGCTTTGCCAGTTTCATAGACATCATCAGAATACCTCTGTGGCTTTCTCAGTTGTCTCCCAAATCTTCCAAGTTTGGGTACAACACTGGACATCACTTTCTTTGTTATCTCAATTGATCTTTGTTTGCATATCCTCCTATTACTCCCAACAATGGAAAGTCTGACTTCATGGTCCTTAGGATATATGGAACTATTGTATGAAGAATTCACAAACTCTTCAACTTCATCACTAGGAAAGGTATTGCTGGTAAAATTAGAACACTTCTGCTGAGCTGTATGTGACCTTTCATTCCGCCTTAGCTCAAGAAGAAGCTTTTGCCCCAAAATGAGCAATTCCAGGAAGGCACAAACTCCTTGCAAAGATGTCTCACACCATCTGCAAATGTTTGTGGGATACCTTCCATCATTTACAACATGAATGGGGAGGTATCGATTGATGATCTTTGAGAGTCGTTCTTCTTCCTCTTGATCGACAAATATTGGAATGCCCTTCTCATCTGGTTGAGCACAAAGACGACAAATGTTTGATTCACTCAATCTCACATGTGCAGAAGAAGCCACCACACTTTCTCCTTCAGTCATGATGCATGCTCTTGACTGTCTGCCAAAAGAGAGTTACAGATTTGATCAAGTAAACCTTCTGGTATCAGGATGTGACTACAAGGCAGTTAACTTAATTATATTGTACATTTACATATATCACCATTTTTGTGCAGATGGACTACTCAATAATATAATAAAATAATATAATAATTGCTGCTACAATCAAAAATCTTTGCACCTCAAGCACCTTTAGTTTCTACAATCCTAGTTGGAAATGAAAAAAGAATGAGCATAAAGGGTGAGAGAAAGGGTATGAAACAAGGTCAATTAAGATCTGTCATTGAACATCAGTGATGATTCTCTTGCAGCACTAAGAAGTACCAAACCATGTCCTACCAGTTCTATATTGGCATATATTGCAGATAATTATAATATGAAAAAGGGTAGTGGTATTCACCATCCCTGCTTTTCTTTTCACAATATTAAAGTTGTTGTCAATTTCCCTTTCTCCAAACATCCCTGAAACCAGCAAAAATAAATCCAATGGCATATCCTGTCTTTAGGAGACATCCCTTACATGACCCAGTGGGGTATATAGATGTCAGCAACATTAACAACTATTACGTCCAACGTCCACTGTTTAATACTTATAGGGACGTAGTTGGAGTGATCCCTGATTTTATTTTTCCCCCTTTAAACGTATTTATGTCTATTTATTAGGATAAAAGTCTATCATTGTCACAAAGAAATACTCCCTTTGTTAGATACTTAGCGATTTCTAAGATGCACATATTTTCCCATATACAAGGACCCATCAAAAAGTTCCAGGACTGGCTTTAGTACATAAAGACTAGCTATAGTCATCCCCGACTTGCGTTGTCTCGTCTTACGTTGTTCCACACTTATGTCGTTTGCCCCTGGACCCAATATATTAAGCCAAGTGCACAAATTCATACCTACATTGTATTACATTGCCCGTACATCATCCATGAATTGGTATCTCAACTGCGAGTAGTCAACAACACTGTACTGAGGGCACCAAGTGTAGCAGACTGTGAGTAGTCGGCAACATTGTCACAGTACTAAGTGTGCCAAGTTGCAGGCGCATGCAAGGGGGCCAGAGTTCATTCTGCAGTCAGTGCTTGGATCGAGATCATCTCTCCGCTCTCTAATAACTTTTGTTTTTTTATTGTTAATTTGACTGTTTACTCCTGAACTTTCACGATTTTCATAAGTATAAATATATCTTTTTTTCTTGGTCAAAATTGATTGTCTGGAACCACCCTCCCCATTAAACATTGTGTTTATGGGAAAATCTGTCTTGACTCATGTTGCTGGTCTCAGAACCAATTATGAAGTAACTTCAGGGGATGACTGTATACAAGTTAGATTTCAGTATGCTCCCCTTTGAAATAGCTCCCTCAGCTTCTGATACACTTATCCCCACATTTGTGAAGAGCATGGAACACTGGCCATAAGCCATTCTTGGCAACCACCTTCAACGCATTAGTCACAGCTGACAGTTTAAAGTCAATGTGTTAAAACTTGCTATGGGAATTGAAGTGAAATATAAGGTTTATGAAAATGGAAGGAATGTGGAGGCTGTGTTAAGGTCGTACTGTTGAAGTCACATGTGCCAAGGACCATGTTCGTGAACATCGATGGGAAAACTTGTAGCAAAATTTGAGAAGACTGGATCTGTGGCCAATATGGTAACAGGAGGACATAGGGTTTTGGAAGATATTTCTGAGACCTGTTTCTCACATACTTAGAAGCCCACACTGCTAGTAATTTACAAGCCAAGTTTAAATTTCTTCTGTCCATTGGTTTATGTTGTACATGACCATTATTCGATTAACTTCAAATGGGTCATTCTGTATATATATGTGTGAGCTTTTACACAAGTTTATTTTTGGGCATGTACACCTCAACTTTCCAAGAAAATCATTTAAAAAAAGAAGGGAAAGGCCCATGAAATATATAACAGGGTCCCAGAGTTTCCATTCTCATTTTCCATCCACACTACACTTACAATCCCATGCACAACTTCATGCTGAATTTCGGCAAAGAAAGAGAAANTTGTAATTGTTGATAATGCAGGTTGCAGGTGACAAATTATGAATATCCCTGCATCAACCTCACTAGGGACTAAAATAAAAAGGGGGAAATTTGCATAAATACAGATAAATAATCCTATTTTCAGATATATTGTCACAAAGAAATACTCCCTTTGTTAGATACTTAGCGATTTCTAAGATGCACATATTTCCCCATATACAAGGACCCATCAAAAAGTTCCAGGACTGGCTTTAGTACATAAAGACTAGCTATAGTCATCCCCGACTTGCGTTGTCTCGTCTTACATTGTTCCGCACTTACGTCGTTTGCCCCTGGACCCAATATATTAAGCCAAGTGCACAAATTCATACCTACATTGTATTACATTGCCCTTACATCATCCATGAATTGGTATCTCAACTGCAAGTAGTCAACAACACTGTACTGAGGGCACCAAGTGTAGCAGACTGTGAGTAGTCGGCAACATTGTCACAGTACTAAGTGTGCCAAGTTGCAGGCGCATGCAAGGGGGCCAGAGTTCATTCTGCAGTCAGTGCTTGGCTCGAGATCATCTCTCCGCTCTCTAATAACTTGTTTTTTTACTGTTAATTTGACTGTTTACTCCTGAACTTTCACGATTTTCATAAGTATAAATATATTTTTTTTTCTTGGTCAAAATTGATTGTCTGGAACCACCCTCCCCATTAAACATTGTGTTTATGGGAAAATCTGTCTCGACTCATGTTGCTGGTCTCGGAACCAATTATGAAGTAACTTCAGGGGATGACTGTATACAAGTTAGATTTCAGTATGCTCCCCTTCGAAATAGCTCCCTCAGCTTGTGATACACTTATCCCCACATTTGTGAAGAGCATGGAACACTGGCCATAAGCCATTCTTGGCAACCACCTTCAACGCATTAGTCACAGCTGACGGTTTAAAGTCAATGTGTTAAAACTTGCTATGGGAATTGAAGTGAAATATAAGGTTTATGAAAATGGAAGGAATGTGGAGGCTGTGTTAAGGTCATACTGTTGAAGTCACATGTGCCAAGGACCATGTTCGTGAACATCGATGGGAAAACTTGTGGCAAAATTTGAGAAGACTGGATCTGTGGCCAATATGGTAACAGGAGGACATAGGGTTTTGGAAGATATTTCTGAGACCTGTTTCTCACATACTTAGAAGCCCACACTGCTAGTAATTTACAAGCCAAGTTTAAATTTCTTCTGTCCATTGGTTTATGTTGTACATGACCATTATTCGATTAACTTCAAATGGGTCATTCTGTATATATATGTGTGAGCTTTTACACAAGTTTATTTTTGGGCATGTACACCTCAACTTTCCAAGAAAATCATTTAAAAAAAGAAGGGAAAGGCCCATGAAATATATAACAGGGTCCCAGAGTTTCCATTCTCATTTTCCATCCACACTACACTTACAATCCCATGCACAACTTCATGCTGAATTTCGGCAAAGAAAGAGAAAGTGACAATTTCATAATTTCATGAACATGGTGTTACACGTTCTTCATCCAACCAACATTGGGGAACTTGAATTCCTGGTAATGGATGGGGAGGAAAATGGACAAAGAAAGAGCTGAATTGGTTCTCCCCACTTTTCTGATAATCTCTGTTGAGAGGTAAGAAAAAGTAGATAGGCTACGGTTAATGGAATCATTAAAGCGGCATGCTAAACTCAATCTCAAATCGCTGTAGCATTGCAGTAGGCTTTGGAACGAGATGCGACAAGCACCTCGGGCCCTAACCTTGGGCTTAGTCTAACGTTGCACCTCTTAGTATCAAGGTCGATTGTTTCTATCCAGCAAGCCTCAACATCAAAATGAAGGGGAAGACCGAGCACACGGAAAATCAATGAGGTTACAGACTGAATCGGCAACCCTCAAACCACTATCTCTCAGCGTGGACTCCATAGAGGCAGCCATGATACATGCAATATGGCTGTTCTGTAGTGCAAAGCCGCTGCCCTCGATTGTGCAAGTTTTGTGATCCCTCAAGACATTGGCTGTAGTCACAGATGAGCGTGGAAAAGAATGGCTGATTACTGGAAATCCCAGCCACGGAAATTCTGCGAATTTTGCAAGTGCTGGCTTGCCGACAATAAACCTGTGAGGTCTCTCAATCTTCATTCTCTTTCTTTTGAATTAAAATAGCACGCCGTGCAATGTTTTTTCCATTGATTGCGCCTCATGTGGAGGAAATGGTTGACATCACGACGCCAGCAATTCGCTTATTAGAATAAAAAATTTTGAAAATTGTGCAGCTCATGCAGCACTCCTTCATCAACCAGACCTGGCTAGCTAGACAGTTGTGGAGTTGTTGCTAACTTTCAGGCAAACTGAGATGAAAAGATTTCTTTGCCAAGACTAATCCTTGGAGAGCGGGGGATAAAAATATCTCGTTTTTTGTTTCATTCCCCCCGCCCTCAAAAAAAAAATAAAATAAATAATAATAATAACTAATATTCTCAGGAAACTTGGTAATCTGACGGCTACATTTGAAATTTTCACTCCATTGTTGTCTGTATGACCTGTTCAATTTTATTTCAGAGTCTTCAAATTCATGAGGGTGGAAAGAGACACAAGGATAATGTTGCCAAGAAAATATCTGAGCTTCGGAAGAAGGGGAAGAAAGAATTTAAAGCTCAGAAGAAATTTGAAGATGACATGCAAAAGATGGAGGAGGTGAATGATCATTGAATTCACACCTTGAAAATTATTCTTGCCAGCATTGTACATGCAAGCCAGATAGCTACTATAGCCTATTCTTGTTTGTGAAGTTTGTTCTGTCATAGTACTCAAAACCTTTCCACATTAGCACAAGTGACATTTTCAACAAGAAAGAAAAGATCTTCTGTAAGGCATGTATGAAATTACTGGTAGCCTTTTTAAATGTCATTTGTTATTCATTTTGTAGGCAGCAATGGCAGCAGCCAAGAAGGACATGATGAATAACCCAGATCTAGCTAGGAGCTATAGCTTGGATGCACTAGGAGACATAATTCCAGCTCCCAAAAAGAAAAGTCCTCCACCTCAAGTAGAGAAGTCTCAACCAACCAATAGCAAAAAAGTAATGATTGAGAAGGAGACAAAAATGGCAAGAAAATGTGAGTTGACACTGGAGGATGCCTCTGGTGATTCAGCAGCTCAGATAACTGACTTCACAGGACATTGGTATGAAGCTGTTTCTTCAGAAGGATATACCTACTACTGGAATGACATCACTCATGGTGAATATGTTCTAATGTTCTTTGTGCAAGATCAAAGGCTGTTATGTTTTAATTCTGCAGCAAGAGCCCTGATGTCTCATTACAGAGTCTGTATGGGAGCCTCCTTTGCAAGGGTATGTATCTTTGGCAGATCAGCAGACAAAGGATGGGAGTCAAGTCAGAGTTGCTAAAAATACGACTAATGATGAAGGCACCACTATGGAACAGTGCGTTCTTTCTGTCATATTCATATTTTTCCTTTTCTGCCACAATATATGAAAAATGTGTACCTTATTTATGTTATATGTTAGACCCAGGGAAGGAGCAAATGAAGGAAGACTCAAAGCTGCTGAATTGCAGTCATTTGCTCCCCAGTTTACTAGTGGGGCTCCATCAATCAAGTTTCGGGAGAAAAAAATGCGACCTGGCTCCATCTTGGAACAATTCAAAAAGCGAAAACTTGAAGAAGAGCACAGAAAAACCTTCCGAAGGAAAGTGGAGGATGAGGAAAATGATGAATTGCCATAAGAACAATCTGCAATTTGCCTGACTCAAATTTTCTATGGGAGTGCTCCCTAGAAAAAAAGAAAATTGTTTAAGAGTGTAAATGTTGAAATCTGTGGATATTTCCTTGTAGATATCAATGAAAGTGAATGTGGACTGGAAGGCATTCAAAAGTTCTGTCAACCATGTGATGTGAAATGAATCATTTCATGCTCTTGAATAAATGACCTTGTTCCCAGAAAAATAAACTTGGTAGATTAACAAGATAAGATCGGGAATGTATCCACATTGAGACGGGGAAAGACAGAGCACATGACTAGATTGGATAGAATCACAGTGGAAAACAGTAACATGGTGATGTTATGAGAATCGAGGCACAGAGATGATCTTGTCATGGAAGTCCAAATAGGCAGTCATGTGGAAACCCATATTGCTCAACACAACTACATACTCAGCCAGGCAAAACCACGTATACACTGGAAAAACAAACAATTCTTGAATATGTTTCACATTTCCAGGTAAATATTGCAGTAGAAGGATGATAACTTACTTAGTGGTTCACAGAGAGCATTGTGTCTTTGATAGAACCGAACAGTCAAAACACAGCATGCGAGATTCAAAGCAGCCAGGCGACATTTCCATAATACAGACTTCTTGTGGATGAATCCTGTGTACTTCAGTCTCCAACCATATGTGAATAGCAGGAGAGACAGCATCATGTACGCTTCAGAGCAGATGAGGAAGATGACAAAGAATGTCTTGTGAATTTCTGTTGAGAGGACAATGGGTGACTATATTAATGGTTAAATAAATCAGTGACATGTATTTCAGTTTCAATAAGGATTCCATTCAATAAGCAGGAACACAAAATCACTATCTTCAACTGCAAGCAAGGCAGAGTTATTAGCAAACTGAGGAGACAGAAGGATTCAGATATTGGGTTCCAACTTCATCTGTTTAGCTGATTAACTAATTGCCATTTCTAACTGGTAATGAAAATTCAGTTTAGATTAACATCTATATTACATCCTCCTCCCTGGTGCATAAAAACACAAGTGTCCCTAAGTAATGGAATTGTGCCCTTTTGTTCTCTTCAGCTCTTTGTGATACATTCCATCATTTTGTTCTTACCATTTTCTGTAGAGAATTGGAAAAAAATACATATAAAACACCCATCTAGCTTAGATAGTTTTTGAGATTCAATTTTTCCTGAGGGATCTGCATAGAAGTACATTCAAGTCAAAACTTTGTGACCCTATATCCTTGGAAATTTACAGGGTGGGCAAAAATTTGAGTTACCCCTGAACTTGCACAGTTACATAGGTCCATGTGTATATTTACACAGACTCTACATTGTTGGTGTAAGCCCCATCATTGTCTCAACACCATTGGGTATGTCTTCCAGCATCCAGGTTCTTTCTCAAACCGTTCCCTAAATGCTGCCCTGATATCACGCATGCTATGACCAGTGACAGGCCTTTCATGAACCCACACGCTAGCAACCATTCTTTCTTTGATTGAATAAGAGCTTGTGACAATACTGACTCGCTGCTGTGCCACAATGACTGAAGCTGTGAAGTCATTAATCATAACACAATTCTGGGGTAGTGACTTTTTGCCCACCCTGTAGAATGCCAAAATATTTAGTATAATTTTATACATTTGACAAGGCAAACTTCCATCCCAAAGTTAATGAAAATCCATGAGGTGACACCTATAAATTTCTTGAAATTACAGACACTAGAATTGAAATGACCCAAGACATGCAAGTTAAGGTGTAGGGAGCATGAGGTTTCATAATGGGTAGGAGAGTTCCTGCATTCCCAAATATGGAATGAAAATTACTCAAATCAGGACAGAAAGATATCATCAATCATCATATGTTAGATTGAGAATAATGGTCCAGTACAAGGGGGTATCTCACCAAAGTTTTCACGTGATGTCACAAAAGACAAGCCCACAAGAGCAAAGTTTTCTACCACATGGATGACACAGGCTGCATTTGAAAGATGAATGAAAGATGACTTCACATTCTCCTTGAAGAGTGTGTAGTAATAGCTGGCCACAAGAAGGCGTGGGGGGAAGTGAATGGCTATAGCTAGGAGATATCAATGCAATGAAAAAAAGAGAGTTATCAGTCAAACTTTGAGGAAACTGACCAAGAAAGTCAAAAGTCAAGAGCATCAGGTTACTGACCAACTTTCCATATATATGTCTGAGGTTCATAACCAATTGCAGCAGAGATAGATGGAAGATAATTCATGACCTGATATGAATAAAAAAATCACATGAAAAATAAACAGGACCAACTACATTTAAAAGGAAATTAAGGACAGGTCTCTCACATGGCAATGTGTGGCAGTTGATTCTTCAAAATTATAGAAGATGGACCACAATATACAGATGAGGAATGCAAAGAATGGCATGGAAACCACTGTCACAGCAAATGTTTTCATGCGGACCCGACATGTTTGATGTTGGTAAGAAGTACCCTTCCTCCCTGGCTCAAAAGCCTCAATTAAAGTTAGGCTCTCTGGATCTTGCTCATAAGATCCCATCTGCAACAGCATTACAGAAAATTTCATCACTCAAAATACAAATATTGCTATGTTGAAATGAAACCAGGCACATTTCAGTATTTATTCTTATCAAGCATATCATAATAAAATGATTCCTTCTGATACAGCACTATATAATCCATAAAGAGCTGGAGTGAAAAAAAGTATACTGCATTTTGGCCAACTACAGTAAATTAATATAACTGCATTTAATAGGCCTCCATCACAGTTGACTGGGAGAAGAGAAGGTGCATAATTTAGACAAGTTCTTCCCTTAGAGCACAAAATGGAGGAATTATCTGGAGAAGCTAGCAGGGGCAAAGTATCTTCCTTTTTGTAGCAATTAGGAAGAACTCAACATCTACTGTTCTTGAAGAGGTATATCAGGATTGCATGCATTAAAAATGCTTAACGTGCAGGATGCTTCAAAATGGCAGCATTGATATATATCGCAAGAAAGTCTGGAAACTAAATGATTGGTTTTGCCTGATTCACATCTTCAGGGATCTACTGATAACCATTTTAGCACAAGTTAAAGAAAAGCCTGTGCAATTTTATGATATAGAGATGATCTAAGTGGCTATACACTATAGCTGGGTTATGGAGATTGCATACCCCCTTGGGAAAATGCCTCCCAAGTCTCTAAATGAAAGCTAAGTAAGCAAGTCTCCTGAAAAATACAATAAGAGAATCTCTTGATGTCCACTGGCAGCTATCCACTCCTTCGCATGGATGCCACAGATTTGCTCTTCCTTTTTATATGTTCCACTATTTTCAAAAGCATTCATGGCACTACCAATACCAAGATTATATAGTTAACATCTATCGGGTTCTAAAAAATGTTGCTGATGCAGTAAACAACGTCCATAAATTGCTATGGATGGGACTGGGATCATCATTTACACTGGGCATTGCCTGCTTGTTTTGTGAGAAACAATGAAGCTAAAGGCTCTTACTCTCGCAGACAGAAAGAAAGGTGCTTACAGTCAACTCTACTTATTGGAATACTGCTGGATCCTGTTAACATTATTCCATTTACTTAAACTGTAACATAGTTCTTCTTTCAGCACTTATGCAGAAAAAATAAAGCTGGTAGGTTGTTTTTCAAAGCTTTTTGAAAATTGCACTTGTTTCAAGAAAAGATTATCCTTTTAAGCATTTTATTCTAATAACCTTATACATTCATGTGATGTTTTCATAGCATATATTGTTTGAAAAATAAGGATCACACAATCAAATTCCATCAAGTGGTATTCCAATAAGTGGATTCAACTGTAGAAAAAAACCATGGAATAATTCCTCTCAGCTTCTGTCTCTGGGCTTATTTGCATATAAACAGCAGCTGATGATGGCATTATGTCACAAATCAGTTGGCACTATCATATACAATTTTTCTCATTGTGTCATTGTTTTCTCATTTCAACATTCTTGATGTTCCTGAAATTATGATTTCTACTTTATGGTTGTGATGAAATTGAAGGACACCCTAAGAGGAAGGCATTCGTGGTGGGGAAAGATGATATTTGAAGTTAGGATTATGGCTGATAGTATTATATGAACACATAGTCATATAGTAGCATAATGAAGACAATTTAATTTAATTTATATATGTCTTTATTTGCTAGCTTTGTGTTCCTGATGTATTTTCATGCATTTTGAATTAACTTTTTGAAATGAAAATGTTCTCTCATGCATTACATCCATCCATTGCAAAGCCATGGTTGACTCATAGAAATGGGAGGATGGAGAGATATTATACATTACATGCATATCTATACACTGCTACTCACACTAAGTCCTTCTTAAGCTTTATGACAAGCACACATGAATAGCTATGCTGCATGACAGGGACTTAATTCCTGTGTGCCAAGTGCATTACAATGTCCCTGAAGGACATGAAAGCAAAGTTTGTCCATACATCCATGCCCATATCGATGACCATAGAGACTTTGAACAAGAGATAAGCATGTAGCTATTGCTGTGGAGTTACATTTTAACATGGAGTAACATTAGCATGGAGTAACATGGAGTTACATTTTTTGGCAAGCAACCTATATACTACAGGGATCACTTGAATCTGTAGCTGACTTTGATACCTAGAGGGGAGATTAGCACTCCCTAACAGTTCCCCATGGAATTGATATTTCATACTGTCTCCTGCAGAAGTCCACACACCATGCAAACCATATGTATATAGTTCTGTTCTGGATTTGCAGTATGAACACACCCTACACTTACATGCTGAATGCAGGAAATCCAGTTTATATTTGTCTAAAAACATCGGCATACTCAGGTGGGCCTTGCCTGTCATGCAACATAGCTACAGGTCAAACCTGCCAAAGCAGGACTCAGTGTGCATAGTAATATGCAGGTTCTAGACTGTGCACCATATATTAGAAACCCAGTGCTGGGAAGGGTCTTGATATTTGGAGAAACATAGAACCTATTACCAATGAATGACATGGCCACATGCATGTTTGCAAGACCGTTGGCAAGAGAGAGAGAGATGTGAGGAGGAATGTAAGGTTTGTAGAGAGGGTGGTGCATGTATACTGTAGTCTGGTGAATGGGGTATGTGTGTATTATACAATACCAAAGATTGGGGGAGTGATATAGAGCTCATATGTGGCATCCATGCAAGACAGGAGATGGCCGTCTGGGAGCAGCCTGTGAATGAGATTCTCTTTTCGCATTTGGCAGGGGGCATTCACATTGAAGGGATACACACCTCGCATGACTAAGACTGGGGGTATGAGGCTTTATCAAGGGGGATGTGCTAACTTTGGGGGGTACAAGCTTGCACTTATTGAGGCGGGGGGAGGCGGTTTCGTTTGGGGGTAAATGATTAACTATTACCGCTATAGCAGAAGCCCATATGCCACACCTGCCGCACAGTAGGCCTCATGAAACACGGGGCACGCGGCTGCACGTGGTAGTCACAGGCCACGGCCATGTTGCCTCTGGGCTTCTGTGATGGCGACACTCGTCCAGAGAGAGAGATAGAAAGAGCACGGGAAGGGATTGCATGCGCATGGTAGTCTGTAAACATTCCGTGAACTGCCACAGAAACTATAATCCATGGAACTTGAACCTAGGCTATTTACGGACCTAAGATAAGTCTGAAGTTGGGCTGTTTTCAAAGTTCCTCAGGTATTTGGCGGCCTATAATACCTTGTGATAGGCTTGTTATAGTGGTGCCCCAATGGACTAGTTTTGACCAGGCCTTGGTGTACATCCTTCGATGAAGCGGTTCTGTAGACGCGCCTGTATGGTATACGTTCAATTACAACAGTGAACAGAAGTGGGGCAAATGGAAGGGAGGGGAGGCTCGAAACTCATTTGCAAGTTTCATGACTGTCAAAAGAGAAAAATACAGTGGCTTTCACTTGAGCCAAACAGTTTCCAAATTATTCTGGTATGTTCCATATCTGGCATACTAGACAGTAAAGGGTTAAACCATGGCATCCTCTGATTTTGATTTCTTTGGAATCTCCATAATTCTATGGATACACTGCCATGGATAAAGCTGTGCCTTGCAGTTATATGGCAGAACTAATTCCATACATGAGAATTTGATAGTTGTGATTGTGAGGAAATTTAAATTCTTCATACTCCTTTACAAGGTCACCAAAAGAGAACAAGGAGAAGAGCCCAGTTTAAAATCCCAACTGGAATATTCCAGCTGGACCAAATCTGTAAATTTGTACCCTTTCCAGTAGGCAAAGAGCTGGAAAATAGTAGGTACCAGTTGTTTCTTAGCTGGAATTTTCCAACTGGAATGCAGCTGGTTTTAATAGCTGTTTCTAGCTGGAAATTTTCCAGTTGAAATTTTATGAAGAGGACCCTACACCAGGAATGTAGCTACATTTATAGTTGAAAATCAACTGTTCTTGTTGATGAACCTCTGAAAAAAATAGTCAACAAAAAGATTCTCATTTTACTAATGATATAGCAATTAGGAACAAATCTGGAGATTAGTACTTTCCAGCTGTAACCCAGTTGGAATGGGTCTGAATTTATAGCTGGAGTCCAGCAGGGATTACAAACTGGGAGGGGTGAGAAGTGCATTGACATGTCCAGCCAATGAATACATCCTCATTACTGTCCAAGTCCATGCTTTAAATCAAAAGAAAAATGAGTAACTGTGTGTGTATAACAGAATTGAGCAATATAGAATTATTTTATAAATAATTCCCATTATTCCTTTGACTTGGACATACATGCATGGGACATTCATCAGGCATAAGTGCCTGAGTCTATTGACAATTAATTGGAGTCAAATGAAAAAAAAAACAGTACAAAAATTAACACTGGAGATTTTTTGGATATACTTTATATTAATTTAGGTTTGTCACTTTCTTAACTGCATTCCACTTTGGCAGGAAAAAAAGTAAATATTAGTGTAAGGAAGTTCCTTTAAAATATGCTTAAGCTTATGTACAGCTAAGATGTAGAGATGTATCAGGTTGTAAAGGTGAAATTTAGACATTTTCCAGAAAACAATTTATTGACAATTAACTCAACAATGACTAGAGTTCAGTCTTGCCGAATGTATCTGTTGTAGGTTCACGATAAGCACTCACGCCCACAATGCCCACTGGTCACTCTACTTATACACCTACATAGAAAGTTCTAACATTTTCCAGATTTTTCTAGAAAAAATCGAAATGTCTAAATTTCACCTTTACAACCTGATAAATGTACAGGCCAATACATGAGCATTTTTCATGTGCATTAAAAGTACATGGCACTTATGTATCAGGTCTACATTGTTTCCCCATATAGATCATGACTCAAATGACATTTATTTGTAATTTGAGTTAAGGCTGCCAGATTTGGTAATGGAAATATTTTTGTAGCATAGTATTTGATAGCCCTAATGCAGAATATAAAGTATGCAGTCTTTAGAGAGAAATTAAAAAAATCTGCAGGGTGAGTGCATAGGACATGTATTGCCCATTAATCTAGGACAGAGGTAATTTATAATTACTTTAAAAGACAGAATATCAACCAAGTATACCCCAATAAACAAATCGATTTTTGTTTCAAAGAAAATAATTTATAATATACCCCCTTTTTTAGATGGTGAAAGACAATAAAATTAGGCAAACTCTCCACAAGATTGAGTTAATTTCTCTGCAATATACTAAATCTTCCTCAAATTAGGCCACTGTTTCAATCACACCATTCTTTTAGGAAAAAAGACTATATTATCATAGAGCTGTTTTTCAGCTTGATACAGGGCATCATGGTAATCCATGACACTAAGACATTCTTTTGAAGTTATTTAAATTCAAAACTAAAGATCATAGGAGAGAATGTCTATGACTGATAAACACATTATGCATAAATACATGCTACTTTTATCATTCAACACAGGCTGGTGCAAATGGAATGATCTGATTCTGAAGCATTGATATAGAGGAGGGAAGAATCTCTGCAGTCTCAGCCTCTTCATCATGGGTAAGGTGACTTCTTTCCATTGAGAACAGGTTATGTCCTCACATAGCTTGCTCATCTGATGCATTGATGCCAACATTGCATGATTGCACATTTTATTGCATTCTTTCGAATAAATCATCCCTACTTTCATTCTTCCCTCAGAAATCTTTTAAATGCTTGATTTCTTCCCTTGCCTAGTTGGAATAAACAAGTTAGGGTTGCTTTCTTTTTCAATTTTCCATGGCACTGCCTATATACATGAAAAGGATTATACCTATATACTACTAAGGATTATACCTATATATATTATGCCTATATACTGCCTATGAAAAAGGAATCATGAAAAGGGGTCAAATTATCAAGAAAAATAATATCCACTCTAATGAAATTGTTGCTTGGGTGGCTTCCCTTGGGCTAGAGGGATAAATATTTTTTTTAATTTTCTTGGCTTCTCATCCTCATTCTCATAAGTCCATCAGTCAAGTGTTTGACCCTTCCCAATGGGTGAATTCTGGCCCCAGTGAATGAGACCATTGGACAGTGATTGTGTAATCAATTTCAGATCACTAACTACAACTCTGAAAGGGAAATATTGGAAAATGGCCAAACTTGACCAGGAAGTGATTGATATCATGATGAGCATGTGATCTCTGAGGAAACTGGTGAACACTCAATCTTGGGAATTCCTTGATGCATAAACCTAAAGTATTTGATGAGGGCATTTTACCTAAAGTATTTTTTTCCCCCAAGCATTTGTCAGCCATTGATGGGGTCTGAAAAATGGCTCACTGGGAGCCCATGAGAGTCCTTGCAACATGGTATATATCTTCATGTTTGTGCTATCCATGAGAATTTCTCATAATTGCTCTTCATACAATGAATGAACTCCCCAAATTTTTGGTTAAGAGTCTCTTAACCTTGCATTATCTACCCCAATCTTTAATGTTGCAGCATTCCAAACCTTGAGTCACAATGGAGGAGTCTAAAGTATGGGCTGAGTTGAGAATGAACTCCCATACAATCATAGTTAACTACTAGTCCTGTACTTCCTCTTAAAATGTGTATACCAAAGGTGCTCAACTATGTTGTGGGAAGATCCTGGAGGTCTAGCGATCTAGAATTAAAATTTTAATGCAAGAGCTGTTTGACACAGGCAGATCAGGACACAATAAGATATTCCTATTGGGAAAATTAGCCATGAGGTTTGCTGAATGATGGAGGAGGGAAGAAAAAGTTGTATACCTTCGTGTATAACAGGGATGGTCAAACCGCGACTTGCGAGCTGTATGTGCTTCTAGGCAGTTCAAGCGTCCATAAGATTTTGTTATGCGGCTTGTGAGGTCAGAATTTTTCCCATCCCTTGTGTATACCATTAAAATTCATCTCAACTTGTACCAAAGTAAACCAACAAGACTATCTATCCGCAACCTTGAAGGAGATCAGGTCAATTTGGTTCATTATGACTCAAACTATCAATACCTTGTGATTTCAAAGTAGCCTATCAGAATTCAGCCGGAATATTATTTTAACCTGGAACGCTGAAGCCGCTCTTGAGATTAATGGTATACGTGAAGAAAGCCTCGATTACCAACTCAGTGATTTGCGTTATGACTGCAAGATGCGCGACAATAATATAATGGAGTTGGTATGGTGAAGTTTTTCTACAAGAACGAAAAGTAGTTTAGCAGCCGTGGGGGAAGTCTTCTGACAAGAGAGACTTTTGTTGATCTTGTACGTAAATAGAAGCTCCATGGTCGGCATAGGACAACAAACACTGAAGCAGCGATGTGCGATCGAACGCAGTCTGCGAAAGTTGTCTTGACGGACCTCACGCCCGCTTGGCGTCCCAGACGGCGACGCTGAAGCGGTTCCCAGAGCTGGACTACAGGCCTTTCGGGTCGCATCTCATCCATGCTATTCATAAGGACGGTACAGACAGAGCAATCGAGTTTTGTGAATTCTTGCCCAACATTTTCAAAGACGTCGAAGGCCATGCGGTTGCATTATTAAAGTCGATGGAGGGATTTTCAAGCTGAGCGCTGAGCAAGGTCATATTAATCGTCATTGTGTTTTCTTATCGGAAATTTTTTTAATGGTGATTGATGCAGGAGTAAGCTTGCTTAGCGTGACTCCTTGGTCGAAGTTTTGTTTTCAAGGCATCATTCTCTATCCCGTGAGAGGTCCTGAAAAATAGCATGTACTGTGAGAAGTGTTGGATTCCTGCGTATTTTCAGCATTTTAAATTGATATGACTTTCCGTGGCGTTCCACAAAGCATGCTTTCTCAGGGATTGCATATGACCTGTATGGGTTCCTCTCTACGATACTTATCTTCAGTGCCTTGATAATCAGGAAAGGCAGTGTATCACTCAACCTGCATATTGTAAATAGGGTTTTCAGGCCGGTCATATAAGGCCATATTCATTATTATTCAGTTTATGTGGAATCGTAGATCATGACGTTAACCCTTAAAGTGCTATGTTCGTTATATGCGTCTTGAAATTTCCTCCAAGTGTGAGGTAATGTCAATAAAAACAGGAGCGCAGTAAACTTGGTGGTAGTCGTTAATTTTCGTTCCTTTCCTCAAGATGCGTTTTCCCAAAAAGAATTCAGTACAGGGGTTGCTGTTTCGGGAGGAGAGCATTCAGTCCTTAAAAGGTTAATATTTCCACTACACCAGGAGTAGAATGGAAACCAGATGAGTTCCATTGTAACTGCATCAAAGAGAGCGAAATATTTGAGCTGGGTGTCACTGAGGGATTTCCGGGTTGCCTATATGAATCACGAGAGGAGGAAATAGTGAGTGACAGAATATATGTTTCGCTTTGGGTAACAAAATCTGCCCACTACTTACATATCACTACAACATAGCAGATTCTCCTTGGTGTTATGTCATTTCCTGTTGGGTGACGTCATGCATGGCTTATATGAGCACGACGAACTCGGTTCCAACCATGATGGAGGAATCAACTCCCGTTTTAGGGATAGGTCTCGGTATATAGCAGAGGCTACGAAAGTTTTCAAATAGCCGGGATGACAGTGCGCGGGATGTGAAACGAATTCATGGATGACGGGGGACAAAGGGAAGAGGGATAGTGAAGCGTATGCGTGTAACGGACGAAAACATGAGCAAGCATCATGAGCCCTGCGATTTTTTTGTCTGTTGGTACTTCCTATCCCCCCCCTCTCTTTATCTTATCGCTAGGTCTCTTCACGCCTCCATATCGATGAGGTTTGCCAGACTGCGCTTCTAAGGTTCGATTGGACCGTTGTTACTGTTCCACGTTTCATTCTAATTCGAAAAGGGGGCCTTGTAATTATGGCTCCGATCTTGAAAAGGATTCATCGGTTCACCTCGTTCCGCAGCCGCGGCGAGGGAGGGAAAGCGAAAAACCGCAGACACGATATGGAAGGATCTTGTGAGCTTCAGTCTTCATCTTTAGCTGGTCTTATTGTATGGATTCATCAGTGGAATTTCTGTTGCGATGTTGCCAACAGGTCGGGAGTGTCGGGAATGTGTGTCCCGGGTGCCTTATGCAACCCTCATCGCCACCATCTTGTGCTGCGTAGGAGTAGGGGTCTTCTGTGGCACCATGTACCGAGGCTCCACCCTCTGCATTCGCATGTTCCAGGACGTCTTCAAGATTCATGTCAAGTGGTTCGTATTCCCTGGACTATCATACCTTTCTCTTTTACATCGCGAGCTGCCTCATAATAATAGGGTTAAAAGAGGATGGAAGGCTAAGTGTATATTATCCCGCCAGATTTCCCATACTCATGCACTCCGTTTTCCTCTTGGACATATCTTTAACAAATTTGAACTTCCAGAAGGTAATTGTAAAATAATTTTTTTTTTGTTTCGCAACGTCAATTTCTGAACAGAGTTCAAATCGACTGAACCTCCAATTCGAACTTACAGTTACTTGTCATCTCCAAATTCTTCCCTTAAAAGCAGAGGAGATTAATACAATCATATATCCCATGAATAACCAACACCATGCATCCCCCTAGTCAGTTCCTTGAAAATACAATGTTTCAATGAGATCATGACAAAAGTCAATGACTTGAAGTTATGATTCCTTCTGTTTAATGATGCTTCTCAGTCAGAAGAAACCTTGAATGATTTCTGAGACTGGTCAATGACGGTCTCGCAATTTATGAAGCCCGTTAAAGTTCACATAGGCAGCTGCCTGTAATAAGTGCTATCACTGGAAAGAAGACACAGAGGTGTTTGTTCGTAGCATGTCAAAATCATTCGATCTACTATGACAGGCAATTCTGTGTTTCTCTGGCCAATAAACTGGATCATGGGAGCAAGGCCTGCCCTAGCTAATTCGGCGCCCTGTGCGAAGAATTCCACTAGCGGAATCCAAATAGACGCCGAAACGGAAAGCATTTTGACTTATTGAAATAAAACTGAGGGTGGTATTCATCATTGCTTCATTCATTCGCGTTTTGACGCCTCCGGTGAATTTGCGCCCTGTGCGGGGGCATACGTGGCACATGCCCAAGGCCGGCCCTGAATGGGAGACCTTTACTGATCACGTTAGGAAATTTGAAACACTTGCAAATGATCACCCTCTCATGAAAGGGTTAAGGAAATGACGGCATGTTTCAATTTTCACTGAAATAAATTAATTGGCATTTTCTCTCACAATAATCTTCGAGAAGAATCAACATACATACGCATTGATTTAGTAAACAAAAAAGTACGCAATATTTGATTTTGCAAATTCTGGACCTTGATATAGCGGGTAGGAATTGAGAATGAACTGCCAACAAGACGTGCGCGTCTGCGAGACAAAAAGACTCACAGACCTGCATGAAATCGACAGGAGAGGGATGGAGAGAAAATGGGAACAGTATGGTCTTCCAATGAAGACTTGTTTTCCCTTGAATTTGACACAAGAACCGAATTATCATGAAATTCATGTACATGAATCAAAAGCCTAGATAGAATGTAAAATCTGCAATTTGTAGTTTTCTGCAAAGTTAGGAATTCACGATAAAATAATTAACGAACATTTCATAAATGAAAGAAACTTAGAAACACTTTGCTAAAACTTGTTCATCACAGCAGGTAATTGCTGCTTCCCAAGTTATTTCAATAATTTCAGTCAATGCACTTCAATCCATCCATAAACTTTTCCTGCATGCACTATCACATGCCATTTACTATTAATGAGAATTTGAAAATGTGTTTCCATAAGAAGACAGCGCTATGGAAAGGGTTAAAGAAGGACTTGGAGAAGCAAGTGCCGACATCCGTGCGAATGTTCTTGAGGGGCTGTTAGGAGGGGGCCTCCCCCATTCAGGCCTGGCCGGACTCAGGAGTCCTGCATTTTTCCGCATATTTTGTAGGGCACCACATAATTTGTAGGCTGGGCCTGAAGGCCTGGTGGGACATGGAGACTTGATAGTACTTGTGACCCTTTTTGGAATTTGTACGTTTGCAGTCAACGACGTTTCATTGTGGACGGTTCAATGAGGAAAATTAGTTTTACGTCATTTATATTTTTTAATTCGGGTCGTTAAGGGTTAAAATACGAACGAAAGAGAGCTGGACAGTTATCTCCATTTCTTGCGCCCCTTTATGTAACATCTTAGCGAATTCCTTCAGGTAACACCAGGTGCGAAGCGGTCGAGAAATACAAAATGAGCCCAGAGCCCATTTATGCTTACTGTACGTGGTATGTTCTGCCGTCTCTCGATTGCTTTGTCATGAAGCATCATATTTGATCCTAACATTTTTAATCAGGGAACTAATGTAGGCCATCCGAAAGTTTTAGGCATTTTTCTTTTACTGTAAACAAAATGAGTTCATTTGGTTTGATACAATACGCATCAACTACGTGTCTATTTTTCATCAGCACGCTGTGAAAGTTTAAATTTAAAATTTTCTGCGTGACAGTAAATTTTTTTTTCTGACACGAATTTATACACGCGAGAATTTCATGGTTATTTTGAAATAGTATTTTCTCCTAGGTCAATCGTCGACAGGTACACTTGCGTCCACATTAAGGTGCTCAAGAGATTTTCAGTAGCGCGTTAATGAAGGCTAAACATGTGAAGAATAAAACACCCAGTAATGGATCATATTGTTTGGTGCCTGATGTTTTCCGAGACATCACTTTTTATCACTGCATACCACCAGAAAATTGAGACTGTGCGAACGTCATTGATAACCTTCCTATAGTATATCGATACTGTTCTTAGCAATGTAGCTTGTTCTATCATTGGGTGCTTTACCCTAGCTTGAAAAATATTGCACCGAAACTATTCCAACGCTTACTTTAGCAATAACTACACTTTGAACTTAGAGGAGGGGCTCTGTATTAGAACCATAATAACCAGGTACAATACATACTGATGAGGGCAAACAATAATGCATAATAAAGGTAAGGTGAATGGATATAAATGATTAGTTCATTCCTAATTTCCCTATCTCAGAATGTCATGCCGGGAGCACTGAAACCTCGAAGAGTTCGGTTCAGGATATATTTACTAAGGACATTTTGACGGTTCACATCGAACATAGCCTTGGATCCCTCGTTCTATTGTCTTCTCCTAAACTTCACCTACTCCTCCCCTCTTCGTGAACCAATGGCAAATGTCGAGTCATAGAGAAGGTTCTTACTTTCATCCAGAGGTTATGAATAAGGCTCTTGTGCACAGGTTGGAGCCGGTACATTTGGTATTCATGATCATTGGTGCGGCAATGGGTGTCCTGGGTATCATCCTCCTGTTGGTGGGATGTCTTGCCACAGGGGAAACCAGGTCCAGTGTCTATCGAGCTGACAAAGCACGAGTCGGCGGACGCATTTGTGGTGCCGTGGTTAGTGATTGTTACTCAACCTTTCGCGATGAGGGAATGAATGCCTCTATCAATAATAAAACCTTTCAGTTTATGGGTATCGTCTACGTCCTGAACCTGGTGTGGCTGTTGATGCTCTGCTGTCTCGTGATCATCACAAGCACTTTCACTGTTTTCTGGGCCATCTGCTCTTCCGATCGTATCCTTGTTCACGATCGATGCATTGACTTCACTCAATTTGGTAGTGCTCCAGTGATTCTCAACTGGGACTCAGTTCCCCAACCACCTCTTTAATTATGTGTAATGTATATTATGGGGGTTTCTGGTAGGCTTCATGTTCCCGAACGCAACACACGATGACCAGATGACGATTTGTGACCCTGGAGAGAAAAAGCTGTTCTGTAAGGATTACGTGGAGAATGCTGAGGTCATGTTCATCCTGGCTACGGTTTCTTGTGTCATTGTCATTCTCAGCCTGGTGAGAATAATTTATCTTTTCTTTATGACTAGCCTGTCAATAATACACCATATAATAGAAGCTGAGCTGACATGATAACTCATTGCAGGTTCATTACCTCATGTGCCTGGCTGCAAATTATGCTCACATCAAAGACAGTGAAAAGTTCCGAGACCTGGAGGAGATGCAGCGGTTGCAAGATGCAGAAATGACTGGGCTGTCGAAAGAACGCTTCTAGGATACAGCCCAAGAAATCTTCAGGGAAGCACAAATAACTTCTGCTGACTCTTCCATCTCAGACTGCCTTCTACATGTTGCATAATCATCCGTCCATTCGTATAGGAGCTGAACTCTTTTTTTTCATGACACCAGACATTGGCCTTAGCCAATGCCTACGTTATTTATTTTTACACAAATATTACAACCCTCTATGTTTGAACTATATTGTCCATGTTATCTTGTTCTGTGATTTCCTGGAGATTTCTTGTTAAATTTACATATGATGATTGCATGTCTTTGTGGATTTCTGTATGTGTTCTTCATTGGCTCACATATTACTTTCAAGCTTTATTTCCTGTTGTGGTACACCTGACAGCGAGAAAAGGCATTTGCACCCAGTGCATTTATATTGTGCTTGATTTACTATTATTTTGTCAGTTCTGGATGATTTGTGATGCTCATTCCATGCTTTCCCCCCCCCCTCAAATCCAGAAGGCAAATGAGCTGTGACTGTTCTGCTTCTCATGCACAGTGATCTGCTTTCTCACAAATATCAGTTGGAAAGACCAACTGTGTATGATCTCAGTCCATCATTCTACAACTAGTTCTTGGTCTTCTATGAACTGCTTTTTGCTCATCTTTTGCTGTTTCACTTTCAAGTATGTGATCAAATACACAATATCATGTCTCAGTTGCTGAATTAGTCCACAATAATGTTCAAACCTGTTTCATAATTACAATTCTCAGATATGTGCATCCTTAGCACAAAAGACCATCCCATCCACCCAACATCACTGTGATAACTGGAGTATCTTGAAGTCTTGCATCATCAGGAACTTCAACAGACACTAAGAAAAGCTGCAGCCCTCCTTTAAAATTCATTCAGACTGTTTTGAAGTAAAAATGCCATTTGAGGCAAAGTGTATCATGCGGACTTCCAGTAACAGATCCAGGATTTCACAATGGACTTGATTTTTTTTTTTTTTTTTTACAAAAGTACAAAAAAGGAAATTGAAAAATCAATTTAGGAGCTCTCAGGTTTATTTCTAAATTGCTGTATCACCAATGAAATTTCTCAAAAATAGTAAATGTGGCATCAGTTTGTTTTGTAGGATTTCCAGTCTTATTCTTAAATTTCCTTTCATTCTCTTTTCCTTTCCTAATGAGGAAGGTGACAACCACACCCACTGCATTCTTCTGGATCCACCCCTGGAGGCTCCTTTTTTGTTGAAGATATTATGCCACTTGGTACAACTCAAAATTGTAATACATATTGATGAACAATGAAAAAATTGCTTTCTTTTATCAATGTAATAAAGATTCTCCAGTAGAGTGTGTGCAATACATAAACACAGGCTGATAAGGTCAAGACTTGTCTTGAGATCATCAAACAGTTCACTCACAGAAGATCACGTGCAGATACATCATCTCAGAGTGAGATGGGATTGCTCAGAATGTGATGAGGGGTGTGATGGTCTGAGAAGAGCTTCAATTACAAGAGGCATGTCTCCCAATCTTTCTTGTACAGAGGATGGGAGGTGATCCTGATACCTGTATTCTTTCCACACTCCATTCCTCTCTTTCAATTGTATACTGGAATTCCGTGAGTTGACACACAAGTTTGTTCCATCCAAATACTCCACCTCCACCTCTCCTGTTCTTCTCTGTAAATCAGAGGATCACTTGAAAAAAAAAGCACAAAACTAGGCATTCCAAGTGATGCATGGTGTGCCATGTTCTCACCTGAGATGCCCATCCAATACCATGCAGAAATACTCTCTGTGATCCGTCTTGAGTATTTTTCTCATTGACATCACATGAAGGAGCCAAGCAAGATTTCTGGCTGAAAGCCTTGCTTGTGCTTGAGAGTCCTTTTATGGATTGCTGAAAATCAGACAAATAATTTGTTTTCACAAACTTCCATGCCAGTGCCTGAGAAGTCAAGAATGCAGGAATACTATCCTTCAGATGAGATGATCCCAATTATAGCAATTAACAATGGGGTCACTTTGGGAAGTTCCCCTATCTACAAAGCTTATTTAGCTATTGCATTCAATAGGAAATCAATGCCTATTTCTTACATTTATGGTCAGTGGAGCCTTATATTATAATTTTAATCAAATGGCTCTTGAAACTTTTTCTTGTTGTTCCTTCTCATATAGAATGTAAGCTCATAGTTACATTAAAAAACCTAGTAAATATTCATCAGCATTGTGGCCAGGTGGAGTGAAACCTACATAGTGATTCATAAATGCTGATCCCTGCTTCAAATGTTTAAGCTTGTGAATGCTTGAACAATTTTAAATTTGCTATGGTTCACCAAAAATATTAATAAAAAAATGTAAATTTTTATATATCATGTTCTATTCTTTGAGCAAAGGCTGTTCTTGTGATCTTAATAAGATAAGAAAATGAGGTGCAAAAGGTGCCAATCATGGGCTTCCTGATGAGTCATTGATTACTTGAAATGGTTAAGGCTAGTGAAATACTGGATATCCTGCTATCATGGAGCATCTGGTCTATTCAGCCACTTCAGACTACAACCTGGTCAAATAGAGGGTTAATATCTGGTGGAAAGGGGGGAGAATTGGAATGAGGAATCTTGTCTAGAAAACAAAAAATCAATAGGTGCACAGGGAGTGCCAATCTCACCCCATAGAATTCTTCACAGTGAGGTTCTCTCAACCATGACAAATTGGCCTGTGAAGAAACTCCATCCAATTCCAATGAAGAAAGCCCAGCCATTAGAACCCATAAGAACATGAAGGAAAATGGAATTAAAAACAAAAGTGAGAGCATCTCTATAAGTTTCCTGCCTTGTTTTCCCATCTTTCCCTCTCCATCCGACCACCTTTTTAAAATTACATGGACTTAAACTTTTCTTACTTCAAGGGCTGTGGATCCAAAGTAACCAATTCCAAGAACAAAAGTTGATTGGTATCAAAATAACCATAATTTTGCAGCACTGCACTCCTTCAGCATAGGAGGGGTACTTATGTTCCTGCCTTGTTCTTACTATATAAGAAGTGAGAGGAGATGAACAAAAGAGCTGATGAGATTGCTTGAACAAGAAAATGAGTAAAATCTCTCGCATATGACTATCTTACTCCAGTTCTAGCCTACATACTGCAAGATATCCTGTATCAAACAAGCATCAAAATGTGTATGTGTGCACACCTGCATGCATGATTGTGTGAGTTCAACTGATGTAAGAGTTGAATGAAATGTGGAACAAGAACCCCTAATGTCTAAAAAGACAAATTCAAGTCTTAATTTCATAGGATCATTCATCCTAAAAACAAGGGAAAACTTACCAAATGTCCAAGGAATAGAGGAAGAGGGTGGTGGCTTTATTGATAAAGCTAGTTTCCTTCTTCCCTTAACACGTTGGCGACAATGCGTCCTGATGCCAGGATGCAGATTTTTTTTTCAATGAATGGAACTGTTGAGAATGTTCCAGAAGATTATGATTTTGTAATTACTGATGAAAATTCCAAAAAATTCAACATTTTAAAAAAACTCAGCAAAAAAATGTTTTCTGGGACCATGCGTCCTGATGGCAGGACGCATTTTTTGACAAAAAAAATGCACGTGGTCCCACGCTGCGGACAAGCAAAAATAGGCCGGTCGTCAACGTGTCAAAAAGTCTTTTGACTTTTTCAATAGCAACAGTATAAAATAATTATTGTCAAGCAGGGGTTACTGTACTTTTTCAACAATCACCACCAATTGCCACATACTTGCTCCAACATTCTGGAAGTTTGCTAGTCCCTCTTTGAACCATGTTTTTGGGGGTAGACTGAACCCACTATTGCACTGCTGAGTAGAGTGCCTGCAGATTTGAAAACTTTTGTCCTCTGAGGGGCTTCTTCATTGCACCAATGAGCTAATAATGGCTTGGTACCAGATCTGATGAGTATGGAGGGTGTTGTAGCACTTTGAAACCCAGATCAGCTATGGCATTTGATGTTTGCTGGCTGGTATGTGGTTTCACATTGTTATGCTGCAGCAGAACATGTGCACTCAATTTCCCTTTGCATAAACTTTGACAGAATGCTCATATAATATTCACTGTTAATGGTTTGCCCCTCTGGAAGCCATTCCAGAAAAATGCCCTTTGTGTCCCAGAAGACTGTTGCCATTTGCTTATCTGCTGATGGCGATGTTTTTCCCTTTTTGAGTGGAGGACTGTCAACATGCCTCCACTGCTTGGATTGTTGTTTTGTCTCCAGTTCATGGAAGTGGAACCATATTTCCTTGCCAGTAACAAGGCATCTGAAGGAAGCATCTGTATTATTGTAACAGAGGTGAAGCAGTTCTGCACATGTCTGTACTGATTGTGCCTTCAATTCCTCTGTCAATAGTTGTCACACTCAACATGCACAAACCTTTCCCAGCTGCAGATCATCATGTAAAATGGCAATAATGGAACCAGCTGAGATTCCATATGTGAGAACAAGCTCCTGGTACATGATTCATCTGTTGTTCATGAACAATCATTTAACAGCTACAATGTTTTCTTCTATAGTGGAGATGCTTAGTCTACCAAATCACAGTACATCTTCAGTCATTGGACAACCACCTTTAAAAGAAAGCATCCAGTTGTAGACAGTTTGTATTGACAATGCAGACTTCAAACACACTGCTTGAAGCCTGTGAACAATGTTGAAGGTCTTTTCTCCTTCCTTCTGCAGGAACCTTACTGTCCAACATTGTCCTTCCATGTCACCTTCCATTGCTTATATTCAGAATTAGACGTGCTGACAGAATGGTGTTGCTGATATTATCTCTTGCTCAGAATGATTCATTGCACTCATGATGGCTGTTAAGCCTGCAAATTTGCAAGCATGTTAGGCAAGGCCAATGTGGCAGAAGTGGAAAAAGTCCAAAGATTTTTTGAATGCCCCTCATATTTTCTACTGAATTAATGGAAACAACCAACTGCTCTCTGTCCTTGAGTTGAATGGAGACCCATAACTACCACTTGTATTATATGTGCCTTATATGAATATGTCTTATGTGATGATGACCAGTATGAGTATGCAATGCATCACCATATATATTGCAATCAACCTTGTACTTATTCACTATTATACTTAAGTGTGTCTGTCTGTCCGTCTCTAGTAAGTATACATATAATTTACTGATGACTGCATGACAACTTATTTATTTGAAACTGCACATATTTCTGCCCTATTCATGGCCCAATATGTAACATATGATAGATAAATACATCAGTGGGGTCAATCCTGCATTTGATAATTTGGATCCAATCCCATGTTTTACAAAAATCCAAGTACCGGGCTCAGTCCTACAGAAAAGTTGTTTTATCCCACTTCCACTTTAGTCCCTTGAAGTCAGTCCTAGATAAAACCTAATTCTTACATCTTGACACAATGTCCATATTCCCTTCCCAGTAAAATACTGCTGAGTGTCCCTCTCTAATAGAGATTTCAGTATTTCTCCCAAGTATTTAACTACTTTCTCTCCTATTCCAGGTTCAACCAATGCAAGCAATCTGTAATGGAAGAGAGCTGTCATGACATGAAAGGAAGCCTCACCTTGGAAGCCTATCAAGCTAAGGAGGACCTTAAATCATATGTTTCCCTCTTGAAGTCACTGGGTCTGACAAAAGAGGAGGTGTCTTTGAAACTATCAGATGAAGGTGTTGTGGATGACTGGGGCTTATTTAAGAGAAGGAAATGTGATCCAGAAGCCATTGTGTATCTGAGGGCTACCATCAAGAAGAAACTTGAAGCCAACCAGACTCCTTATTACACCCCAATAGTCTCAACTTCGTATGCTGGTTTTCCTATTGTTTCATCCATTTATATTTATTCTGGGAGGACTTCACACTTGTTTTTTTCTTCCAAACTTTTCAGACAGCCTGAAGGGAAGGGGCCATGTCAAGCCTATCCAGAAGGCCATCCAATGAACAATATTAAGAAAATGGAAGAAGAATTCCTTAAGCAATGTGAAAAAAAAATAGCTGAACAAAAAGCTTCAGGAGAAAGTTGTCATAATAGATGGGAAGATCCTGTACACCCCCTCAAAAAGAAGCAATCATTATGGGATGTCAGGGATATGGCCATGAATTCTGGAACAACAAAATGCAAAGTGGTAAAGGACAGACCACTCCTTCCTCCTCCTCTAAAGCAGTTCACACTCGTGGATGGGAAAATTTTGTCTTTGGATGAAGCCAGAAAACACCGGCTGGCCCCACAAAGGAAGAAAGATTTTCTTAAATCATATGGAAAAGAGATGGTCATACCAAGTGTTGAGAATCTACCTTGGAAACTAAGCAAAGAAGACTTGCAAAAGAGTTCTCTCACATTGGAGGAAATAAGAGCTCTACCCAAATTCTCCAACCATAACATTGGAGACCCTTCAGAGGTAAACACTCAGGAATGAAGTTTGAAACTCTAACTGTGGTGAAGAGGTCCTTAGATCTGGAGTAATTTTCACTTACAGGTTTTATATGTGAAGAATTTGGCAAGCACAGCCATGGTTGAAGATCTAGCTGGTGTCTTCAGCTGCTTTGAAAGACCAGAAAAAGGACGAATCACCTACAAGATGATGGGAGGAAGAATGCATGGCCAAGCGTTTGTATTTTTTCCAGGTAATATCTTACTGAGCTGTTCCATCCTTGATAGGCATTAGAATATTGAAAATAGAATGGATTACTCTACCTTCAGATATTGAATCTGCAAGTGAAGCCATCACACTTGCAAATGGGGTGGAGGTTTGTGGGAGACCCATGATCTTACAGTTTGGCAAGAAGAAGTCATGAGTTCCTTGTCATCATGTGTCATCCACAAAACTCTCCATGTGACAAAGGTAATTGGCATAAAGCATTTGGATGTGCAATGAGAGGTGGAATGGAGGTGCAATAATAAATAACTGGAGGTGCAATGGTATTCTGGTAATTGAGTATGTAAAACATGATAAGCACTTGGTTACAAATAATAACAATTTATCTCAATTTTCAATTCACTGAAAAATTAGGACTACAAGTTGTTGAACTCAAAGGAAATGGGCCTCATCCCATGTTAAAATTTTTGTACATGGCTGGCAGTTTTAATATAATCATACTGTTTTTTAGTTCACCCACCTATCTGGGAATACTTCCTCATCCATTGAATGGATGCAAGCAAAACAGATATTGATGAAAATCTTGAACCCTGAAAAAGTTCTGCATTGCTATTTTGCTGTTTTTTTTTACTAATTTTAAGGGAGCTATGACTGATTTATGGTCGCAAAGGTTGTGTTAGATCAGTGGCTCAGTTGGTACTTGGTTTTCATGACAGGACCTGTTCTTGAAACTGACCCAAGTCTGGGAAAACAATTTTTTTATCACAGACCCCAGCATGTTCAGGAAGGGGCATCTCTGGGCACTTTGCACTCCTGTCTGGAGAAGTGGGACATCCCCGCAAGCATGTGCGATGTCATATGCCATTCTCATGCTGGAGGTGCTGCTGCCTACCAGGAAAGTCATGCTTGCGGCGTTAAAGAACCCAGGCAGTGGTGAAGGCTGAACCTGAGTGGCAGATCCCTGTAGGAACCACAAGCACCAAATTGGGTTGGAGGTCTTGGGTCATAGATGAAGTTAAACTGGGATTCTAAAGGAGATTAGCTTGAATGCCATAGCTAAGGCGCATTTGTGGGCCTTAACCAAGTTGGATGATTTTTTATACTGCTGACTTGTGCTGCACCTATTACAATGTGGATGAACACTTAATATATGCAACCTTCAAAGTACTTTTTGTTGAGGTAAATCAAGAGCTCCTTCTGTGGGGAAAAATAGTATGCAATTTAGACTACCACAAAGGAGCCTATTGATTAACGATTTTGCATTGGATCAATTCCATTGGAAATACAAAAGTCATATAAAATGTTATTTTGTGATTTCCATTGCACTGGTAACATTGTACATGGATGAGTAACCCATCAGTAACCTTCAAAATAGCCACCAGCAATTTTATGACAATGTTCCTTTGGAGTTACAACTGCTGGTCAATTATGCCAATAATATATGTTGAACTAGACCACACCCATGTACTGTTGGATCCACATGGGTAGCAAAATTTCACACGACATAAAGAGCTACAGGTTAATTTTTAATTAGCAGGAAGAGAAAATACAATTAGTAATCATGTGTCGAGGGCATCATTGGGGTCTAAGAGTCTGCATAGTCCAATCCTGGAATGAGCACTAAAGAAGTAGAATTGGGAAAAAAAATTTATTTAACTTTTAAAATTAATTAACATGTTATATTTTTTGTGCAAGCTTACAGACCATGACAGTTAATGAGACCACTCTCACTTTCATATGGCCTCTACTTCATACGTAATTTGGTTAACTACATATTATAATGTACAGGTTGTCTGAAAAGTCAGGGGAAAAAAATGCTTACTAATGTAAAATTGATACATGACTTTACAGACACCCTGTAGATTGTTTACTTATATGATTGTTGCATACACAGTCAACACTCAATCTAATTATTCTCTATATAACAAGTTTTCTTTATCCTGTTTTACAAATTTTTTTGAAGTTCCCAGCCATTTGCCCATTCATATGCATGTTGAAATTTTTCTCTATAACAAAGTTCTTTTTAACTAATTGCTCAGTATTACTAACTCATTTTTTCATCAATTCAAACTGTTCATCATGAAGTTTAAGGGTGGATTTTTTTAAACAGAGAACTATCTGATAATGCAGCTTTATTTCAGGGAAAATACAAGGGTTGTTCAAAAAGTTTCCAGCCTGAGCGAGAAGATGACTAGTTAGGACAACTTTGCTTCTTTCCATGATTCTCCATTCAATTTCAAGAGGAGAACTAGCATGTATGGTCACCCAGTTTGTATTTTCCTTTTTTCACAGATTTTTAACGTGAGGTCACTCTCATGTTTTTGGAAAAACTGAAAAAATAGAGCTTCGTGCAGTGATTAAATTCTTGCATTTCAAGAACTTACCTGCAAAGGAAATCCAACTTGAGATAGTGACTGTTTTAGGGGACAATGCTATTTCCTATAGCACAGAGAAAAGAAAGGGTTGCTGCATTCAAACGTGGCAAGCAGAGCACAGATGATGAGTGACGGTCAGGTAGACCAACAATTTCAATCTCTAATGAGAATGTTGATCATGCAGAGGCTATGGTGTATTCAGAATGACCATTAGGTACATTGCTACAACCCTGCAGATTAGTGCTGGTAGTGTAGGATATATATTGAAGAACAACATCTGGATGAAGAAAGTGTCTGCAAGATGGGTGCTCAGAATGTTGAACACACAACTGATGCAGCATCGCCAGCAGGTTTTGATGCAGCTTCTTCAGTGGTACCAGGCAGATCCAGCTGACTTTCTCCTCAGGGTGGCAACCCAAAGTAAAGCATGTGTTCACCACTTCGATCCAAAAACTAAACATCAAAGTCTTCAGCGGAAAAACCCAGATTCACCACCCATTGAAAATTCAAGGGCAGCAGGCAATGACATGACCTCTGTCTTTTGGAATGCAAAGGGAATTCTGCTAAGTGACTACCTGGAACATGGAACGACCATCATGGGTGACTATTATGCCAACCTGCTTTGAAAGTTGAGAGAAGCAATCAAGAAGCACTGAGGGAAACTTCACAGAGGTGTGCTAGTTCTCCAGGACAATTCACCAGCTCGTGCTTCTTGGGTTGCAGACACTGGTCTCCGCCAATACGGCTTTGAATTTCTTCCCCACCCTCCTTATTCATTTGATCTGGCTCTCTCTGAGTTTTATCTTTTCCCTCTTTTGAAGTTAACTTGGCATAGAAAGAAGTTCAGTTGCTTTTATGACATCATGATGGCCGTTGACAGTTTGAAGACCAAGTGGAATAATTTTTTTTAGTGGACTCAATAAGCTGGAATAATGCTAGCAAAAATGCATTGCTGTTCCACAAGATTATGTCGAAAAATGAAATAACATTCTTCTTCAGATTTTGTCTTCTCTCTTAGGCTAGAAACTTTTTGAACCCCCCTTGTACATTATGTTTCCTGAAAATGAAGCTGCATTACAGGATAATGCTCTGTTCAAAAATCCATCCTAAATATGCTGCACGTATCAGAGCTACTTTCTTTCACCCATTCCTAGAGAATCTCACATCTAAATTTACTGTGTCCCATTCACTTATTGGGATGGCCATGGGGAGTGAAGGAGCAATGTCAGTCTGTCTTAATCTTCTCAGGATCTTAAGGTAGCACTACCCCTTTAAGACCAATATGACGAGTTCCAATGGTGTAAATCAACTCTGTATGTCTGGTTGGGAGGCCTCAAGAAACTATATTGATTTCAAGCATAATTTGCATAAATTATGCTAATTAGTGAGTGAAAAAAGTAGTGACATTTCAAACACTATTTATGATAAATCTTCAAATAGAAATGGATGAAATTCACACACATAGTAAAAGACATCATGAAGCTTGGAATGACAGCAATTTGATGAAATTCCCTCAGAAGAAAGATATTTGATAAAAATAATTTTTTTCTCCATTTTGACCTGCTAATTACCTATTAATATGCCAATTATCCAAATTGCATCCACAATATCAGGAAATGCTCTTGTCATTCCACGACTACTGATTCAAGGATATTTCATGCAAAAAATCATATGGATATCTCTACTAGGTCCTGAGATATTGTGCTCAAGAGCCTTCTCATGGTGAATATGGGTTTTCAGGAAATCAACAAGAGAATTAGCACCTTATGAGCCATTTGCAAAGGTCATTGAAAACTACGGAACCTACCAACTCCGTGGAATAAGGCACCTAGGGGTGGAGTTCAGATTGAACTATAGGCTTCTACAAAACTTATGGTGGTGGAATTTTCATTTGTCATCTTTTCTAACATGGTATCCAAGGGCCAAAGTTGGTGCTAAGGAGATGTAATTAAGACAATACTACACTAATTAGTTAAAATTGCATCTAATTAATTAGGTTTCATTATTTATCCAATGGGAAAGCAATCTTCAGTGTCGGAAGTATAGTTTGAGCCAATTTTTGATTAAACAATTTTTTTTTTCCAGCAAAAAAAATATTTTAATTTGGGTATTGCTACCTTAGGGATCAGGGTCAAGCTGAGTCCAGAATCCTACTTGGTTAGACAATCAAAGCCTTTGACTATCTCTGGCTATTTTTCAGTCATAGGCCAAATGTAAACTTTTTCAAACATTAGTGCTCTGCAGACCACAGGTCAAAGAATCCTCCTAGAAAATGAGAAGCTGACAACCATTTGGACTTTGTTTTCAATGAATACACTGTGATCATGACACATCCAATTTTTATTGCACCTACATATAGACACACTTAATGTGCATGACCATTTATTTATTTATATACATGTACACATCTTGGAAGCTGTACTTTTGCAATATGATACTCAGTCAGACCTTTGCATTTTTTCATGAATGGATAACTACATCCTTTTTTTTTTTTTTTTTTTTTTTTTTTTTTTTTTTAGCAATATATAGCATTTTTTGTTGAAAAGGCCTATTTTTTTTCAGATTAATGTGGGGAATTCCCTATGACGAATTTTCCTTATAACAAAATGTTTGTCCCTTTGAGTTCATTATGCTGATCCTTTGACTGTATGATCAAATCTGACATTTTCATGTGGAATGTGTGAGCAGGGAAATGGATGTAAATGTTTTGAACTTAACTTGCAAAAGCAAATGAACACATATCTGACTTCTCATATGCTAAAGATATCCTTTCATGTCCTTGAAAAGACCAAAACCCTATAGATTGGGATGATGTCACTTGGACATGGAACTGAAAAAGTACATTTCTTGAGGATGGTAAAGAGGCTACTGCAGGACAAGCTTACATAATTCATCCAGGTCACAGGTTGACCTGGATGAAGAAGGAACTTCAATGAAAATTGTATGCCTCTACTTGGTATAGTTGATCTATTGCTGTCACAGCCAGCAGCAAAGTCAGGAACTCACCAATGAAGGGCTAAGGGAAATGAACAGAGGCCAGGATTTCCTAAACTACTTGGGAGTAGCAGATGGATTTAGGGCAGAGTTAGGGGGCTTCACCACCTCAAATCCCCCCCCCATTGCTATGTTACTGGTCACAGCACATAATTGCTCAAAAATTTTCATCAGTAGCTCATAAAAAAGCACATATTCCTGGAAAACCCTTATCTTTCCCTCAAAAAAGGGCAAAATATGCACATGCTGAGAAAAACCTAAAAATATTCATTTTTATGCATTTTTAAAATGGCAGAAATCACCTCCTCTACCAATAAGGCATGATCCTACCTGGGTTGCATGTTACTAGGAGGCTGCAGAAAAATTATGCATTTGCATAAAAATCTGCTCCCTAGTGATGTTACATTAGCGAGGATTAGCTGGTGTTTCAGAGATATTGCTCATTCATGGGCTTTGAGCCTTGTGCACCTGGTACCTCACTATATTGTATAGATAATACTCTGAAACCCATTATCTCAAGTTGATGCATTTCTATCCACTTCAATCCAAGTTGAATTGAGATTCTTTCAGGCTTACCACTCAGGTAAAATATATCTGCAGGTATAGCACGGAGGCATTTGGGGTGGATTCACCCCTCCTGGATCATCCAACTATGACTGAATCTGCTGTAGTTGTCTCTGACCATAGTCATGGTTATGAAGGCATTTGTTGGAGGAATCTACAAAATTTCCTCAACTTGAAGATGGGGCCTCCAGAATTAGTTAGGATAATAAGTCATCAGTCCTCCAAGTATCTTGAGATTATTGCCACCTTGCAAGCTCCTACAAGTCTCTCCAACAGGTGAATAGGCTTTTTCATCCCACAATCTATCATCTGTATTGCACTTTTGCTAGGGTCATTGGAATGGCTTTTATCAGTATATAAGTTTTAATGAAAATTATGGCTGTGCTAGCATACATATTTATTTATACAGGGTGTTTGTATTTAAACATAACATAGGGAATATTTTGCCGCCTGGCGGAGGAGGTTGGTGAATGCAATAGGCCCACCAGCCTATCTGCAAGGAAACACACCAATGCACGTGATAGGTTTCATCCTTCCAGATATGTGACCCAGTGAACAATAGGGCACGCAATGAACTCCACAAACAGCCAGCAAAAATGTCCCTAAGTTGTGTTTAAATATGAACACCCTGTATATTATGCATATTGATATATGAATGTGCATTTATAAATGAGTAAGCATAAGGAATAATTCAAAAGCTATTTGCCATGAAAAATTTGTCATTATCACTTCATAAATAGATATCTTTAAAATAAGAGACTTTTAAGTCTCCATTTTAAAGAGATCTTTGCCCATTAATCAATAAGAATTTTTGGATGAATCTGGTCAAGGAGTGCTGTTTTATGGCAACAAACTTCTTTAATGCTTCTCAGTGTGGATGCTGCTATATCCATAGACTGGAAAATGAGAATATGTCAACACACATGGCCATAGGGACTGAAGGCTTTCAAAGGATGCATGGAATGTCAATTGTGAAAGTGCATCAGAATTCAACCTAATATTAGCTTCAACCAATATTTATTATTTTACATTCAGTTTATTTTCCTTCTTTACTGATAACATCGTAATCAAAGATTAATTTCTTTATTTAATGTTAATTTCTGCTTTTTTTTCCCTCATATTGAGTATGCTTCTTATCTTTCATGTTTTGTATGTTTCAGCCTGCAGTGTGAATTTCTTCTAAACAGTGTTGTTCTTTTAGGGCACAGAGAGAAAGCATGTATTCAGGAAATCTATTGTCTTTTGCTTGCCTCTTTCCTTTCTACATCGGGCTTCATTTGGCTGATGTAAGACTTGGTGTATTGAACTCATAATAGCAATCATGAAGGCTATTGTCACTGACAAAGTTGATGCCACTCTCATTCAGTCAGTTCAAAATGTCATCTGAGGACAACTTTTGTCCATTTGAAAGAATAGGTCTATTGAGTTGCTCTAGCTTGTGTCCTAATGTCCACTTTTTTTGACAAATTATGCTAGGAACCTTTTGCAAAGAAACCTTTGAGACCCTATACACACATACATGTATAAATGTTTTAAAACATTGCATCTCATCACTGTAGAGATTTCAGAAGAAGAAGATGATGGAGTAGTTGTCATGATTGAGAATACGTTACCAAAGTAGGATCAATGTTATTTTTCACAAAACACTAACATAATGAAAAAGAATGTCATGAATGAAATTCATGACATGGTGTTAGCTCAGGGCCCACATTGCCCACATAGGGCATTTTGTTATTGGCAGCCATCTTGATATTTCCATTGAAAGAGTCATTGGAAAGCTTATAATTTGTCGCATGAATACTTTTCATTGGAAATAATAGTGGTAATAGGACATTAGCCCTAAGTCATTACTTTCACTTGGAAAAAATTGTATATATTTGTCCACAAGTGCGTGTGTGTGTGCCAGGACTGATGAGCATATTCCTTGAGGACAGGTTTGAAACTAGATTTTCTCCATTCAGAGGATTTTATGTCCATATTCATTATTCAGGTATGGATGGGACAAAGTTTTTCAAATAAAAATTGTATTTTTGGATTCAATTCCTCTTCAAATTCTTGGATTTTCTCATTTATTGAGACAAACAAGTGCCAGTATTACTATATACCACTCTAAAATTGACTCTGTAAGACATAGGGGGGGGGGGGGAAATCATATTAGGTAGTTTCACAGATATAACTTAGCAAGGTGATACTTCTCCTTTTGGATGTGATAAACTTTTAGGGAGTACAATTGAGATATAAAGGTTCTGGTTATCAGTTCATCTGTAATCTGAGTACAATTATTTGAATCTTTTAAATATTCATCAATGCATTTGCTGTAATATTCTTTGCTTGTGATAGTCATATGTTGGGTGCAATTGAAATTACCTCACCAAGGAGTTTATTGGTGTTAATGAAATTTGATGCACAATTTCCTTTTAATGCATTGAAATTGATTAGAGTTCCATGTGCATAGTTTAATACAGGGTGACTCTTTAATTATGCCATGCTTTCAAAAATTAATTAAAAATCAATGAGGTAAGTTTTAATCCTCAAAAATTGTATGATTTATCTCTACATCTAAGAGTTTTTTGCAACCTTGCTGCAGTTGCTTTGCTAGCAAAATCTTTCAGTGTGAAGGAGAGTTTTCATTGTAAAACAGTACTATCAGAGTGGTAATTTGCCATTGATGGTGCATTTTGTTTCACATGATGCTCCAAACAGAAAGAAAATTGAGTCTTTTGTCAAAAGTTTTGAAGAGAATAGAAATGTTTCGAACCTGAGAAAAGACAACTTTAGGTCGGCCAAAAAGAAGCGTACACCAGAAGTCATCAGAGATGCACAAGCTGCTCTTTCAGCCTGAGAGTCCTGTCCAACAGGTTCCCCCCCCCAAACTTCACAACTGTGGTGTTACATGACCTCCTCTATCACATGACCTCAATCCCTTTGTTTTTTTTTAATGGGTATATCTAAAGGGCAGGGTCTTCAGAGAAGATCCCAAGACATCAGAAGCTCTAAAAGCAGGGATTGAAAGTGAAGTCCATTTCTGCCAAAATGCTGAAGGCCATGATAAGAAATTACACTGCCCAGATTCCTCACATAATTTCGCAAAGGAGAGGACACTTACATATATTATATGCCTCTAAAAAAAAACTCCCATCCTTCCACAATAGTTGGGCCAAATTTCAAGAATGTAAGTTAATCCATTGATTTTTAATTAGTTTTTGAAAGTGTGGCATAATTAAAGAATCACCCTGTACTTCTTAGGAAAAACAAGCGAAATGCTCTAGTGTGAAGGGCAGACGTTTTGGTGGGGGGAGTCACATTAATTGAATCAGGCACCCAGAAGTTTATAAATCTAACCCTTTATGGTCCATTTTATTTGTAATGCCTTGGAGATTGTTGGACTATTTCCACCAGTGGACCGCAAAGGGCTAATGTAGGACAGGAATTCCTTAGGATGTCTAAGTATATCGAAGAATGTCTACATGTCAAAGGATGCAGTGATTCAGAGAAAGTATGAAGAATGCCCAAGGAATGGAAGGTGAGAGTACCTACCTGTGTACCTGAAAGTGCCATTCTCTTTTACTTATTCTCCCAAGCCACTCCACCTTTCTCAAGTTATTGACTGTGAAGACTACTGCCTGAATGCTAAAGGTTCCTTTAGGTGAGATGAAGCTTTGATCTTTATGCTATTAGGTTCTTTTTCCCTCTTAGGAATCAATATATTTCTCAAAGACTATTGACTAAAGGAGGTTTCAACATTCAAGCCTACATCTCTAAACTCAATTACCTCTACTTGTTTCAATTTTCTGTTGAGGTCAGTCAATTGGTGACCACTGTGCAGCACCCAATTTCAAAATAGCAGCAGCCATGAATGGTACTGAATGTGCACCCTGATGTATGTTGTTAAGACCTACCTCTGACATCCATGCCAACCAATTTCAGTCTAGTGGCTCAATTTGGCAAAATTAAGCCTTCATTAATGACTTTATTTGGGATCAAAATTGCATAGATGTTTCTAACATTGTTGCAATATGACCAATTTAAAATGGATACACTGAATGAAGTTGCTTTCTGCTTGGTCATTGTTGCAGTTGTTAGCTAGGTTTCTTGTGTTAATGCTTGAATTTTCTGAATGTTTTTAAATATGTGGAAGGATACCAAGGTATGTGAAACTTGATGGATGGGGAAGTAGTATTAAATGCTGAATACATTATAGCTGGTGGAGTCAGAATGGAGGAACGCACAGCGGATATTTTATCATATGAGAGTATTCCCAACCTGCAGTCTCTACCCACATTGGGAAGGAAAATTTAAGGATGCCATTCATCATCAAAGACCCTTAGCACTGTAGCCTGACCCTGAGCTCCATACAGACTACAAAGTGGCCCAATTGGCCTGGCACAACCCGTGAGTCATATGCATAGGGTGTCCGAAGAAGACCTAGTAGACTGTATAAAATGAATAATTTTGTGAGCAATGTCCTATTTGCTGTTGTTGCTTCTTGATATGCCTGACCTTTTAGATAAAATCGATTCTGCATTTTGCAATAACTCAAGAGATATGCACATGCATGTTGGCAGATCTGTCCCTAACAAATATTAGATGTGCATCAATGTGGAAGGTGGACATTTTGAACATCCAAGGAACTGACATGAATTTTATGAAAGCACGATACCAAAGTAACAAGTGTCATGACATTGAACATCACCAAGTGATAAATTACAAGTGTTGTATATATGAGTAGTATATTTGTAAATATTACAGTAAAGTGTACTAGGTATTTTTGGGACACACAGTATGCATGTGCATATGTTTGCACATGCACATGTGTGAATATACATGTATAGACTCTCCCTTCTTAGATCCCTATACTGAGCCTGACTCACAGACCCTACTTGAGGATGCATTATTCACAAGACATCTAAGAAACCTAGAAAACTTAGGCAATTTTGGGAATCAAAATTCTTCTGATTATCCTTGTGTACTTCATTGCTAGCTCTGTCTTATTGAAATGGCTTCTATGGGCTTCAGCATATTATATTTGTGAATTCAATGACATAGGTTTTAAAAAAATCAATGCAATTGTTTAGAATGGCACTTGTTATTTACATCACCATTATTCACATATGTTCAATGAAGTGACAGATTGCCAAATGGTGATAGCTATGAAGTAGGAATTTTTTCCTCCCCTTGATGTCTGACCCCTAGCAATGATAAATCTTATAAATTTGGGGGAAAAGCTAGTATTAGTCAGTATTTGAATTATCATACCCATACGGCCATAAGAAAATGCCAGATATTGTGATGGGTTTCATGACAGTGATGCCTCTTGCGACCCATAGATTGGGAACCACTGCTCTAGTTGGTCATGTAAATGAAAGATTTTTATCGGCATATGTGGACTTCAAGCTTGCTCTTCACACATTCCACTGCTGAAAATGGACATTTCATTTCAAAGAAGTATTTCATAACTGGTTTTGGTTGAAGGATCATTTTCAACAAATAGTGTTATTCACATTAAAGGTAATGATTTTTAAAATAAATATTGATGCGTTAGCAAGAAACATTAAAAGTTTTTAAATCAAGATGGCGTGCTGTGCAGGAACTAATCATGTATATGTTCAAATCCATCCTTTGTTTAATAATTTTCACTCATTACAACAATAGCATGTATAAGTCACACCTAATCAAGACACTACTAACTCATGCAAGTGGATATTCAAATTCTTTCTAGCCAGAGCCTTGGATGAAGTCTTTCTGACTGATCTTTTCTTAGCACATAAGAGCTTTGAGCTTTCAGGAAAATATATCTTTACTACTGGGTTTTCTGGAAGTTCAGATTTTATGGTTTTGGTTAACAGTTCTGCAAAATGACCTTCAGGCAATCCAACTTATTGCATAATCTTAAGTGTTAGCTGTGGTGCCTGCCCCTCCCCCTTCCCTCCCTACTGTTTCTATCCTGTTCATAGAAGGAACAGGGGGTGTGTGAGAGGAAATAACATATGCATGATTGGTGAGAGCCAGAGCTTATGCCCTTTTTCTCTCTCTGACAGGCATTCCATTTTTCAGTAAAATGAAAAGATGAACCTATTAATAGACAGTTCTGTAAGAGACTATAGTGATTGTCCTAGTCAAACCATAAGCTGAAATGTGACCTGTCTTCTGGTTACAGCTTGAGCTTGTGGAATCCCTTGTTGATCAGTCGGAGGATACAACATATGGAACTGTGAGACTGGGAGTCTTGAGGGAAAAAGTGATTGTGAAATAGTGATAGATACAGCTTTTGTTTTCATATAGTATCCCCAATATGTGTATGATAAACTGAGAGCATCCCCTTGTGAGCAACCTTGTGATTGACATTTATTTTAATCTCCCAAATGTTAAATAAAATACAAAATTTCTGGTCACTTTATGTGCAATATCTAGAGTAGTAGCTATATTACTGGAAACCACATCAAAAAAGTCTCATTCGTGTGTTATTAAATTTATTTAAAGGGAAATATTTTATTGGAATATTCCTTTTTGAGCATCACAACCTGTACCATTCATACTTTGAGGATAGGATTGCTGTTTTCAAGTTCAATTTGGTTATACTTTTTTGCATGTTTTTAGTCTTGTTTTTCCAGAAAGGCAAATGTTTTCATTCTTTTTGGAGTTCACCTATAGTCCATCTTAACCTATCAAACCTGGTCCTGTAGCCCTCCACGAGAGCCTTATTTGCCTTGTTCCTAGAAATGCTTTGTTGCTGCATGAGTAGATATCTGCATTAAATTTTTTTTCTTTGCATTTGTTGAGTTGCCTTTTGATAAGTTCTCTGTTGCCTGTGTCTCCCTTTTTTATATGGGTTCATATATCTTGTATTGTTTACTTTTGAGTTGCTTATGCTGCATGTTTTTTGCCCATGTCCTTCCCACAGATTCTTGTTGCTGCAGTTGCTCTTGTCTTTCACATTGAAGTTGTAGTATTTGAGTCTCAATGAATGTGGCAAGGATTTTGAAAAAGGTGAGGCTTCATCTTGCCAGCTGGGGCCCATTGAAAGAAAAAAGAAGGTACATCTCTGATGTGCCATTTCAAGAGATCATTGGTGGCTACCAACCTGTTCCTTATAAGTTCAATTTTGTCAAGGATGTGTTTGAGCCCCAGGCTAACAACATAAAGGTAAACAACAATGCTCTTCTTATACTTGACTGGTTTGACATCACATGAGGAGAATGTTGGCCATGCAGTCAGGGGATGTGCCAGCCCTTTGGCATGTAGATGTGGATGGATCAGAAAGGATATGGAGCTATCATGACCTGAACACAGTCTCTGCTCGAGTTGCTTCCATGCTCTTGGAATTGGGAGTACGACCTCATGACCGTGTCATTGTCATTGTTCCCAAAGTCCCTGCCTTTTGGATGCTTAATCTGGCCCTCATAAGACTTGGTTAGCCATTCATCTCTGCTAGTCTTCTCATTCAGATTCTCTTCATCATTCAAGTCTTTGCAGCACTGTTTCAACTTTCAGAACTGCAAGTACTAACTAGAATGAGTCCATACTTTGAGATGAATTACTATTGCATGTAAGCAAAAGCAAATCTTCCTCCAACTGCATGATACATGCCATCATGATTGATATATGCCTGAGAATATATCATCTCCAGTATTCTGTGTTGTGCCCAATAAAATTTGTCTTCTTATTCCTCTTCTCTGTAACCCTTATGGGGTCTCTATGTTCTGTTCTAAGTTGGAGGGTGAGATGGATTCCAATCAAGAAAATGATGGAAGAATGATAGCTTCATGGTGATGACTGTAAGATATGCTATAAATTGTCTAGGTTGGTATTTGCTTTGTTGAAACATTTAAATGATCATGAATATTTTTTTCAAAATGTTTTCATGGAGGTTAGGATAAAAGACCTATACCTACCTCTCTTGCTTCTAGGTGCATTGATGTTGCCTGGAACCAGTCAACTGTCGACCAAGGACATTGACCACCGTTTGATGATGTCTCAGGCTACCTGTATGATCTGTAGTGAAAGTACAGCTAAAAAAGTAAATGAGGTAGCTGGCAAGCACTCGAACTTAAATCTGAAGATTGTGGTTGGTGCACAAGACCACCATCATTACAGGTACCTTACTTGCTAAGATGTTTTTGGATTTGTAACTTATAAGCACATCACTCTTACTATTTGAGGATTCTTGTGACTCAAGCATAACCATGTATTGAGAACCAATTAGACATTCTTCTTTATTTTAGTATGGGTTGGCTTGACTTTGACTTCCTGTTATCAAGAGCATACCCCCTGAAACACTGTTATGACTCTTTGAGCCATGAGTCCTCCCAGCTATTCTTCACATCTGGAACTACCGGGATGCCTAAGATCACTGTTCACTCTCAAGTCAGCTATGGTGTTGGACACTGGTGCACTGGAAAGTGAGTTAATAAGGCTCAGGTGAAGAAGGATAATTCACATCAGTTAATTTCCTATTGTATTGCTTTGTTTTCCAGGCTCTTCTGTGACTTGTCTCAAGCAGATGTGTTTTGGAACTTGGCTGATACGGGATGGGCAAAATCTGCATACTCCAGCATCTTTGGCCCATGGATTTGTGGGGCTACAGTCTTTGTTCATGCTGTGAGTTCTCAAGATGCCCTTGCTAAATATTTCTGAAGGAAATACTTGACCATCAGGGATGCTCTTTGTTTTCCAGATGCCACAGTTTGATGAAAGCATGATGCTGCAAACTTTGATGAACTATCCAATCAATGTCTTGTGTGCCCCACCAACTGCATTTCGCATGGTCATTCAGCAAGATCTGAAAAAGTACCATTTTCCTACTCTTAGACATTGTGTCACTGGAGGAGAACCTCTTAACTGGGAGGTCCAACAGAGGTGGAAGGAAAGCTTAGGTCAGTCTGACATTCCCCTGATGTGAACAAGAAATCCATGGGGAGGTTCTTGAATCTGATAAAGTATCTTGTAGGTTTTGAAATGAAGGAAGGGTATGGACAAACTGAGACAGTACTCTGTTGTGGCACCACCAAGGACATGGAGAGCCGAGAGGGATCCATGGGCAAGTCCATCTATGGATATGATGTAAAGGTATGGCATTCATAAAATTCCAGTTTGGACAGTAATTTTTGGTGTTGATGATGTATTTTCAATATACTGATTCTTCAAATACAAGAATGGCTCATCATGCATAGGTGGTGGGTGAGAGGGGTGAAGAACTCCCACCATATGAAGAGGGTATGATTGGCATCAAGACGTACCCCCACCGACCAGTGGGCTTGTTTACTGGTAATCCATAAATGTTCTTCCCATGAAGAGTAAGAATAAGAGTAAGGCATATATGCATTCAGCACAGGCATCTCATGGCATCATTGCCAGGATATTTGGATGATCCAGTGAGGACAAGAGCTGCTTATCGGGGGAACTTCTATCTGACTGGAGACAAGGCATATTGTGATGAAGATGGTTATATCTTCTTCATTGGAAGAGCTGATGATGTTATCATTTCTTCAGGGTAATAATCCTCAGCTCCATCTATTTCACATGAACATCTATGGATCTTGCTGACTATATTGTGGTTGCATGAGGTATCATTGCAAGAATGCCTTTATTGCTTTTGCAGTTACCGAATAGGACCATTTGAAGTGGAGTCAGCCCTTTTGGAGCACCCAGCTGTGGCTGAATCAGCTGTTGTTGCATCTCCAGACCTAACTCGAGGAGAGATTGTCAAAGCATTTGTTGTGCTCACTCAGAATTATGTAGGCTCTATCCAGTCCCCTCTACAAAAAGATGACCTAATCCGTGACCTTCAGAATCACGTCAAGAAGGTCACTGCACCTTACAAGTATCCACGCAAAGTGATCATCCTTACCTGTCTCTCCTAGTTTAGTGAATGAAAGGGCACAATATCTGAAGATTTGTTCTGGTGCTGTTACAGATTGAATTTGTGGAGAGCCTTCCAAAGACAGTTAGTGGAAAGATCCGGCGTGTGGAACTGAGGAAAAAGGAATTTGGCCAAGGGTGAAGCAAAGTGTGCATTATAGGGTGGACACAAAGGATTGGATGGATTTCAAAATTTTTTATTTGCATAGGAAACATTGCAGAATGAAGCATACATTGGATTATAGCCTACAATCTCAAGTATTTTCTTACCAGTACTTTCATGTGGCTTTTGATCATCCCGTGGTCAGCTGATTCCATTATTTGCTATGGCAACTCACCTTAAGAAAAGACCTTAGTTGTGGTGTGTTTCTTTGAGTTCAGCTAGTTGACAGTTTTCAAAGCCCTACTTGAAGAGAAAGATGTGCCTGAAAATGCATTTTTTTCAAGATGGGCCTACCCCACCCCCAGATTTTGCAGTTTTTCATCCACAAATACCTGAACAATATAAAAAATAGTTAACTTCCATTGGTCCCCAAGGTCACCTAACCTTACCCCAAGGTTTTTTTTTCCCTGTTGGAGTCATAAAATCAGTTGTGTACAGTGTGAAAGTTACAAACTTTTACTTCATCTCAAGAGAAAATTACTCAGACTTTTCCAGAAATACCAAAAAGCCATTCATATAATCCACTATTTCCCCAAAAATGTTTCACTGATGGAGGAAATCATGCCGAAACATAGATAAAGTAAACCCAATAAAAATCAACTTAAGACCATAGACTATAATACAATGTGTTCCATCATCCTGCTGCATTACCTGCCCCAATAAGTTTTTTTTGTTATTCATCCAATCTTTTATGTCCACATTGTACTAGTAATGTATTAGCATTAATTACATTCCTTTGCTTGAGAATCATCAATTCACATCTCTTACATCCTTGTTTATAAGAATTGCCTGGGAGCTTCTACCTTGTCCCCCCCCCCCCCCCCTTGTAGGAGGAAAAAAAATCATGCAAGCTGACTATAGGTTAGCAGAAGTAACTGTGCAGGTGCTATGTTACATTCCGTTTACTCTGCAATAAAATTGGTACTCGTGATTCCTTGAACCAGCCATTCTTAAAATAACTGGATTCAGTCAGCAACAAGAAGCTTCATTGTCAGAGGCATGACAACTTCTCTGAAGTAGGGATTCTTGTCTGGGCTGTGTGCATGGCCGTACGTGCATGGCGCCTGCACTGCAAGTAAATTTGAGGACTATAGTGCATCCGTTCGAATCGCGGGTTGTCGGATCTATGCGGCAGCGGCCTAATGAGGGTGAGAAGTGGGAAGCGTCAATCAAATCGGCCACCCCCGAACCCAAGGGCGACTCTGCCCCTTTTTTGAGGGGGGAAGGAGGAGATTAATGAATGTATGAAGAAAGGTATTTTTAGACTTTTGGGGAGTAGAAGGCTGAAAGTAGAGGAAGCTGCCGCCACTGGTTTCCTTCTTCACTCCCCCTCTCCTCTCATTAATCATAGAGTTTCCCCTTTGGTCCTAGTACCGCCTGACATGCTAATGTCTTCCTTTGCTCTCTTGACCTGCGATTCGAACGGATGGACTATACATGGCATCGCTGACCCAAGAAATCATTAAGTCCTCTAGCACGTTTGGCAGTGGTGGCTTGTGGGTTCAAGACCTGGGGGGGGGGGGGGCTACAAAGGCTGGGGCCGCTGGGCGCATGATACCAAGGGCAGGAAGGGCAAAATGTTACCTTCCGTAAAACACATGGAGCAATGCATATCATACAATGAATATTTTATGATTTAGCGTGAAAGTTAAGATTAAGAAATGCAACGATTACAGATATGCAGTTGGCATCAAGCACCAGACTTTCTTTTTGCACATGAATGTTTCACTTCATAGATGCAACGCAAGGAAAACTGACATGTCCATCGTGCGCCGGCGCGCAGATGAACTCGGGGCTGCGCTTGGCTGTAGCCCAGCTACTGCTTGTGTCCGGCCCCCCGAACGTATATGAACATGGCCATATGATTTTCGTATATGCTACACGGAGGGCTGCACGAGCATGCAGCCCACGCTCTCCATAGCGCGCTAATGCGGGTCTGTGGGAGACACGGGGAGGAAACTGGATCTTACACCTCTACGTATTTAATGCTGACTGCGGGACGCACAGCCCGCAGTGCACCAAACTTTATTTAAATACGTCAATTAATATTTCTTTACATTGGAAAGTGATTCTGTGCCTCCGAGATGACTGGAGAGGGGGGGGGGGCTGCAGCCCTTTGACCCCATAGCACGAGCCGCTCCTGACTTATGGGGTTGAGGAGTTCAGGATGCAAGTATAGAAGACATCCTTCTGGAGATAAGGAGTGGAATCGCGCGTCGAGTTCATTTGAACTGAGGAAGCTGACTGAAAGGTTGCATAAGTTGGAGAAACGAGAGGAAGGACTGGAAAAGATCTTACAACGGGAAGTTTCGTCTCTCCCAGGAGCTGGAGGATCTGGAAGATACGGTGAAATGGCAGGATAAGGGGATGGAGAATCTCAAGTAGAGGAGTCTGCAGGAGGTGAAGGGGTTAGAGAAGTACGAGAAATTTGTGGGAGATTTAGTGAACTTGGAACTACACCAAAGGAATAAGGATCTCATTTTTTATGGGATTGAAGAGAAGCAACAGGAGTGGCCGTGCTTAACACTAGAAGTGCCAGAGGCAGCACGGCGGCCTACCAACGTCGAATTTATCGACGGTTGGCACTTCTAGGGTTAAAGAATTCTTGAAGGTGGATACGAAGTTAAACGCTATACAGGTACGCAGATTGGCTTTCTCAACATTCAATCTTCTTCCTCCGTCTACGTCTCAAGGCCGAAGGGGCCAAACAAATCAAGCGCCTTGAGGCTTGATAGCCATCTTTTTTTACAACGAAGAACTGGACCTATTTCTAAGGAACAGTGGCATCCTGAGGGGAACCAGGAAGCTTGTCGTGCAAGATCGACCCGTCGTCATGAAAGTGGAACGTGTACGAAAAGAAGCCAAGGCCAAGGAACTTCGGGAAAACGGTGGGAATTAAAGAGCGTTGGGAATCGCGTGATGCTCCAGGAAAACAGCAAGCGAGGCAACGTCTGGAGAGAGATTCCGTAGAGGGTCACATGATGGGCCAAATCGGAAATAACAGTTTCAAACCGATCCCTTTTGCTTTCGACTCTTTCAGTATCGCACTCTTTCTTTAACACTTTAGCTCACAGCGACTTTGCTTCTGCGATTCCCGTATCCCGGGCTTTTTAGACTTTTTTTTTAATTCCGTAAAAATTAGTACTAAACAGAACAAGTTACTTTATTTTTCCCTCAGAGGTAGATTCAACTCTTTTTTTTATTGCAATAACAGCTTAATAGAATAGAAATGAAGTATTGAAACATACAAGTGAAAATCGAGTTTAAAAAGTCCAGACAAAATTCACGCCATTCGCGTGAGAGGTTCTCTAATGGCTATTCCTGACTGCGTCCTTGGTTTCGTAGTTTGCCTTTGTGTGATACACTTCAAAACTCTCCTATGCACAGGACCTCATTTCAGGACTTGCAGTAAAATGAGGTACTCTTCCTCGTTGCTTACCACTGCAGCGCTTTCTAAGGAAACGAACGCAGTGCATCAGAAATAATTCATTCTTGGGTACGATTTCATGAAGCCACCTGCCGTTAAGTGGTGTTTTTCAAAGTAGAATGATGCCTAGAGGTGGTTGTAATCTTGACCATGCCGTGGCAGTAGTGGCATCTCGTGCCGGGAATTTCAAATTGGAAGTGCTTCGTATAAAGGGCTTGGGTGTTTGTGACAAATATGTCAACCTTTCACATGAAGGGTTGCATGCAAAAATGTTAAGGGGCCGTTCACAAATTGCGTAACGCAAGGGGGGGGGATCCAAGTGTTAGGATTTGTTACGGGGGGGAGGGGGGGTTGCACGAATGTCACGTAGCAAATTTTTTTCATAATAAATAAATAAATTATGCGACTGGAATTTCTTATTAGAAGGTTAACTGTTTAGTGACAAATCAATCACACGACACAAGAGCCAACCCTACTGCCCGATTCGATCGTTAGAGAGTCTAGAGTGCGGACGCTTTCTAATGCGCTCCGCATAGTGGCCCTTTTTCGGGGCTGTGCTGTGTCTGTCAGCTCTTTCTGTCTATTGCCCGTGAAGGCTATCAGCTGTTTCGTGCTTGTGAATGCCTGGGAAGAGAAAGGACACTACTGACATCCGTAAGTATTTTGACGGCTCCCTGCGTGTGACCCGTGAAAAAGAAAAAGAGTTGAACCTGATTCTTGAGGCAGCGTCTCACGTGTTTCCATTCTCGTCAATGTCGCTCGAAGAAGATGAGGCCCAGGAATCCCTTAAAGACATTCTCTTAGGGATCCGACGGGACGTACGGACATTAATTAGTAGGATGGATGGATTGGAATCCAAAGTGGAAAACTTGGAGTCTAGTATCAAAGCGGACGTTACTGCCCTAAAGACGGACGTGAATTCTCTTCGCTCTTCACAATCGCAATTGGAGTCGAAAGTAGCGGAAATCAAAAGCGGAGTGGAGAGTAATTCCCAAGAATTGGATGACATTAAAACTCAAGTTCTTCCCCAAGTCCAACAAAACCTCGCCAAGCAAGTCCTTGCTGTGCAGGAGGAACAACTTAAGTTGGAATTATATCAAAGAAGAAGCACGTGAATGTTACTCGTCCCTCCAAGACGAAAATATCGGTCACATGATACAGGGTTTGTCTTGCAAAAGTCAACTATCGTTTTTAAGGCCCTGATTGGCATAGCCTCGTAGTTCTAGCTCGTTTGCCCGACTGGTCAATGCCATTCAAGACTGTAGGCTAGATCGCATTGGGTAACTTATTGTTTTGCTGAACATTAATATGCATATATTATGCAGGTGTTGATGTCTTCCTGAGGACCGAGTCAAATCAGAAGACTTACTAGCGGCCTGCGGCCGCTACGCTGGCCGTCTAATAGGCGGAAATTTGAATAATATATTGTGAGCATAACGTCTCCTTGACATCCTCTGTTCATCGGTACCCCATTCGGAACTGAACCGCTTCATTAGATTTAGGCACATACAGATTACAGTGCACAAGGAGACTTTGTTCATAAACACCATCATCATGATATTCGAGTTGACTGCCACAATCGCCATTGTGAACGCCTCGGTTTAGCAGGTTTTTAAGAGACTCAAGGCAACTTTGCTGATTTCGTTGTCCCAGCACATTCAATACTCTTGCACCACAGATTAGCTCATGGGCTATTAGCATTTGCTTATAGTACAGGTACCACTGATTCTGAAACAGTACGGGCCATTTTCAAGATCTTCGACTTTAGCAAAGAAGGAAGTTAGCGCATGTGTGGTACAATACTAACGAATAATTCCTGAAAATGCCTCGCCGCCACATTATCCTGAGGCTCTGAAAGTGTTGCTCACTGGTGTTAAAGAGTGAATAACAACAAGAGCACTTTCCGTTGTGGCAGCAATGTGAAACAAATGCCTCCTCCCTACAGTAAAATGTACAGCCTGACAGTGCTCGCCGCCGCAAATGGCTAACTGTAGTTATTGAGATGACATGGAGAGAGATGGCAGAATGTCCCGAATTCCGTGGTGTAATGGTAGTACACCTGACCGGCAAGCAGGTGGTGTCGGGTTCGATTCCCGGCTGCCCCCCAGCTTTCGACACCTGAATGCTGCGTTCCTTGCATCAAGTTGCTCAGAAGGCTCTACGGCTCTCCTATTGCTGAGCTCAGCATTCGCTGCTTCGTGATGTTCAGCGGTCTGAGCGGCCCTACGTACAGCTGCGTGCCGTTCATCACTCATTCTAGCCATTACGGCTAGCACCTCCTAAAGCCCCGATTTAGTCACTTCGTACCGCAATGGCAATCTTTTTTTTTTTTTATCAGCAGCGACTGCCTCATCGCCGTTCTGTAGGACCTCCAACATTTCTTCTTTGCGT